CAATATGCATTGAAAGAAGATCTATCATCTATATTGAGAAGAGAGTTCGACATCAAGCCTCGTCAGAGGAACTCGCTATGTCGCGACCTACTCATTGGGGATTATCGACAAAAATTACGGAATTCTTATCGCAGAAATGAAAGCCTGTATTAAGTGTGGTGCACGGGTCTCATGCAAAACAATTAAAAGCCGTCACTTGGATGGTGCTAGAGTAAAGAAGAATATGTGGCTACTCCCAGATGCATCTCATCCCCAGCGCGTAACAAATAGATACCTGTTGCAAACTCCTGTGAGAAGAGGATCTTCGAAAGTGAAGAAAGGCAAAAGTTTTTGCAAGCATTTGAAGAAAGTAGTTTTGAGAATCGCAAATGAAACCACTCAAGCTTTGTAATTTAGTGAGAGTCCCATACATATTAGACGAAAATGGATCAGTGCCCCCCCCCCCTCTCCCGACAAGATTGATCGCAAAGAATTCGCGCTCAAATCTTTTTGTTTGCTTTGGCACACGAAGCAGTAGATCTTTTTTTGCTAAAGCATGTGCCACAGCTTAAAATATGGAGACCTGAACGGTTTCGGGATCAAGATGCTTCGTTCTCGAGCTTATAGAAGGCCCACGCATACTATAAAAGCGCCTTTTTGTTGAAAAAGATAAACGGGAAATTTTTTTAACAATCGTCCATCATACTGATGAATGTGCACAAGCTGTCAAGAATTGCCACAGCTTTATTGTCGAATTCGAAAGCCGTGAGAGCCTGATAAAGTCGGCCCACCTTGCGCCCGAACCTTTGTAGAATGCAAAGTCCTCTGACGGCATCAGAAGTAATTGAATACTGTCATCGTTGAAGCTGCGTTCATGCGGATCTGGAAGTACTTACAGTCCCAGCACAGCGCTCGAACTGCAATTGAACTTACTGCATGCGCCGCAGCCGCCCACAATCGTTTTGAACAGCGGAGAAAACCAATTTTTGACTATTTCCAACGGTTTTCGTTGTAATTGTCATTTTCGCCTCAATTTCGTACCTCGCTTCCTCCTGTGATAAAAAGATTGCAAACATCGAAAGGTTCAAAAGAACGTCTTTTCCATTGTGTTGCGAAAACCTGTATTTTCCTTTCTGCTTATGTTCTTCTCCGTAATCTTTATTATTTCAAAAAGTCACTGCACTCTCGAAATTAGCAGCTATCTCAAAGCAGTGCTAGTAATATATCGCGGTAACTAAAATCGCGAATTTCTCCTTGTGTTTTGATGAGATTAGGTTTCTTAGGCGTTTCAGCTTCCATTTCTTTTTACAAATCCTACCGTTTGCTCGGTCGAATTGTTACCCCCCCCCCCCGCCAAATGGTAAAAAACTTCTAGTGAGCGCTGTGGAAGATTGAAAGCGGTTTCGATTAATTTCCACTTTAACAAAATGAGATTGCATTCATTCTCGAGCCTCCCTCAAAGTGGGAGTTTGTTTTTCATAAGGGAAAGCAGAGTCCAAAAGTGAGACGAGCAAAAATCGCATGAAAACAAGTTGAAACGGTCAAAAATTGCTGTTGCTTGTCGCTCAAAACGGTTGCGAGCAGCTGCAGCGCCTTCTGCACAGCTCCGTCACATTCGGGCGCTGTCTTGAAATTGTGTTGAAACTTAAAGGCAGGGCAAAAAGTCGATTTTGAGATTTTGTGCTTACCCGGGCCTACTCGCTATGCTGAATCCGAAAATCACCACTAGAGAGCGCGAAAACGGTGAAAAGGGGGTCTAACGCAGGAGGAAAATCAGCAGAGGGCGGAGCGTCCACCAGGGTGGATTCTCGCTCCCAGCTTCCGGAGCAATCTTCTCGGTTCCTTTATCGCCCTAACATCGCTACCGGCCAAGTGCAAACGCGTGATTTGAGATCAGAACCGAGAAGATTGCTCCGGAATCTGGAAGCGAGAATCCACCCTCGCAGACGCTCCGCCCCTGCTAATTTTCCTCCTGCGTTAGACCCCTTTTTCGCCGTTTTCGCGCTCTCTAGTGGGGGTTTTCGGATTCAGCATAGCGAATAGGCCCGGGTAAGGACAAAATCTCAAAATCGACTTTTTGCCCGGACGCTGCCTTTAAGTATCTTTTGAACGCAGCTTTGTTCAATCACCATCCTTATGAATGTCAGTGAAACCACTTATTATCTTACTAGTTGGCTTTCCCGTCTAGCCCGAGCTATTGTTGGGGATGGGTAGATGTTAAGACTGCCAGCAAGATTACTGCACTACAAAACACTATCTCTTTTTTCCGTGTCATGCCTGCCTGACTTGCCTTGTGTGGCATCCACGATTCACCACAACCTCGTGATTCTGAGGAGGAATGAGCTTTACCAGACTCCTTCACATGACTATGGGAAAATGCTTGGTTAAGCATGATTAGCCTTCATTCCCTCAGAAAAATGTAAACAAATCAATAAATCGATGAGAAAACCCAACGAATCGCCGCAAAAAGTAACCTATCATGCGCAGGGACGAAAACATATGTGTGTAGTTTTCAGCTCAATTGGTTGAGCGTTTGTTTCGGTAACGCACATACCCTCCAAACTGACAATTTTTGATTTTGTCAAGATAGATTGCTAGCTGCCTGAACTTTGGCAATAGGTTCATCAAAACGCTTTTATTTTACTGGGACGTTACTAGACTAGAATGGGAGAGGGTACGAGTTGATAGGTCTCTCTCAGAGCTTCTTTTGGATAAAATTGTTATCCTCTCAAGCTGTACCAATGAAGCATGTACAATGAGAAGATTTCAAATGTGGTAGGCAAAACGTCTGATCAATCAAAAAATCAAGAAGGACGCAGTTTACAAAAAACTTCATGTGAAAGCGTGAAACTTGAGCTGAAAGAACTCTATTTGTAAGTTTGTGAGTAGAAGGAATATGGAGTGCGGAATTTAATGCCTCAATCCTACTTACGATCCTGCAGCTCTCATTGCGTTCGTTCTGCTACGTATACGAAGGGCACAGACACAGCAACCACAGCTTTTTGACAGGGCAGAAGTTTGAGACGAAAGATATCATAAAACATATATATAAAACATATAAGATATCATATCATAAAACTTTGACGCCCGGCTATGTTGGGGACAACTGTCATCATTTCTACGATTTTCAATACGCTTGCACGTTGAGAAGTGACCTATCTGGGTGGCGGACTTTGTGTACGATAGCGCGCGCTTAGGCAGGCGTGTGTCAATAAGGTGCGCACCGTTAGCCCCGCCTATCGCAAGACGAGTTCTCCGCAGTACAGCTCTAGGAGTGGTGCATGGCCACATGTTTCCTAGTCTAGTGAAAGCAACTTCTGAGCTATAAGCTTCTTGCAAGCTGGGGGGGGGGGGGAGGGGGTGAAGCTTGACTATTTGCAGAATAGTGCTTTGATTTCTTGTTTCTTTTTTGCCTTTTCTTGACAGTCAATGAACAGCAGATGTGTTGATCGTGAATTTTGCTGTTCTACCTATCAATGACCAAGTGACTCCTGGATATCCAACTGTCATGAACCTTGTTCATGATGAACAGCAACATGTGAGAAGCACGCGGCGCGCTTTCGCGCGTATATAAGCCGCCTGAAAATAGGCGAGGGATGGCTTGTTCTTCCACTTTCCCTTGTATTAATGTTATCCGGGTCGGTACGCTATGCTTCCCCTTTATTATATCTGTGTAACTAGAGCTTTTCCCCTTGAAATGAAGTGGAAAAGAAGAAATAGAAAAGCCCGCAGGAAAGGTTGGAAATGGAATGTAAGTAGGGTTTAGTATTGTATCAAATGAGTTAAGACTTGGGAATAGTGATTAGTCAACCATTAAGAATGGAATGGAAGTAGGATTAGTATTAGAATTCTCGTTGTTATCATAAATAAAGATGTGTCCCCTCATTTGTTCTTTCACACTATTTGGACCATGAATAAGGTTCAAAACATGGTGCATCGGCCAAACTGGTAAGGGCCTACATGAAATAGTGTAATCAAAGAAAGCACAACCGATAAAAGAGGTGAAATTAGTAAACGCTCTAGAAGGACCCACTAGAGCACTATTTTCATTAGTATGAAGATTAAACATCATTTAAAAGCTTTCCATTCAAATTCGTGCTGTATTAAGCCTGATCACCTTAACACAGCACTTATAGCATGTTTATTTATTTTGTTTTGCCTTATCTTCTTTTCTTTTTTTTTGTTTCTTTTGAAAGACCTCGAGGTACGTGGTAAAGGAGCTTTCGCATCCCTTGTTGAAAAACCCACAATGCGCGTTACCTATTGTGAGTCGATAACACGACTTCGCATCTGACAAGGAAAGGATACTTAGTCGAAAGCACCGATCCAGATGAGACATATATCATTGTGACCTGCTCGGAGCGCTGATTTCAAATCTGGCAAAATCAGCTGCGGAGCGCCTTTGGGTAAGGAGCTATGACCGTTTCAAGAGCCAAAAAATTCAATGGGTAGAGAGAGTAAAAGTGATTGTTACAACATGTATATTTTGCAGACAGACTCATTTTAAATGTGTGTATAGCAGACAGACATTTCTCTTTGCGCAGAGTAATCTGACAGACATCATTCTCCCATTCGAGCCCAACTGGAGACTTCTGCGTATAATTTTTTTCTTCCCTTGACTTCAAATTTTCTTCACAAAAACAACCATAACTCGTTGCCCAAAGGCGCTCCGCAGCTGATTTTGCCAGATTTGAAATCAGCGCTCCGAGCACGTCCAGATGATATATGCATCATCTGGATTGGTGCTTTCGACTAAGTATCCTCTCCTTGTGAGAAGGAAAACTCTTAAAAACCGGGGAAAAGTAGCCCCATTGAAATCTACTAGAGAAGGACACTCGTAGAAAACCCAGGGTTACCTCCGCCCTGTGGGATAAATGCATTTGTGGGAAAATTCGCATAAGCTTACAAGCTAACGGAAATTCTATGATTTTTGATTGATAACGGCGCCGAGGGAGGAATCTAAGTTGATTTGATAACTCACATGAGAATGTTTATATTCGCGTGAGACTTTGATAAGAAGTATGAAAACCTTCAGAAAAGCTCCTAATGGAAAACAATTCACATACATTCCAATGATATCTGATTGGAAGTTATTCATATATAAAGAGATATGCCGATCTACTCCCAACCTTGAATCGACATTCAACGTCATGTCTACAGCGCTTAATCTGAAGACGGTAAAGCAAAAGCTGACCCGTCTACTTAACACCCTTTCCACCCTACTGAGGGAAGCCGAGGAATATCAAGAACCTTGGCAATTCCCCACTGAAGTGAAAGAACTGCAACATTTCTTGCTGATGAAATCCATAACTTTGAAAAACCTCTATAAACGACTGGAAGAACAAAAAGAAAAAGTATGGAAGACTTATGAGGAATACACTTCAAGAATTTACGACATGCTCATCGATGCGGACAAAAAAGAATTGGGAACAGTAACTGAAATGGAATTCAACTCTTACTGGGAGGAAAAAAAGGAAGATGATCTACTGCAGCTTACAACTGACTTATTCAGTAAATTAGAAAGTAGGCTGTTCGAAATAGAATTTCAGGAAGCCTCTTTGAAACTAGAACTTTTGGGATCAAACCGAAACGAACTGCAAAACGAAATCCGTACGAACGCGTTGAGGCCTGAAACGGTCAACCTCAGGCATTTGCTAGGAGGAATAAAAATTCCTGAACTTAATGGGAAAGCAAGTGAATTTGACTCATTTTGGGAAATTTTTGAAGAAATGGTTGATAAACAGCCGTATTCCAACATCGAAAAATTCTCAATTCTACTTGATTCTTGCAAAGGAGACGCAGCTAGGGCACTCAGAATGTTTCCCAGAACAAGTGAGTCCTATGAAAAAGCGATACAACAATTGAAAACGCAATTTCAAGACCCAAAGAGAATCATCATGATGGTGATAAGTCAACTCAAAGCCATGCGACAATGCAAAGATGAGCCTAGGGCGCTCAGAAATAACTTAAATGATGTCCAGGCCATCATTGCAACGTTGCGCAAAAACGGAGAGATGGTAGACACTACAAACATGATAAGCATGGTACTAGAGAAATTCAGCAAGACAGTTCAAGATGAGGTGCTACGTAAGGAGTTTGATTCTGGAATTGACTGGAACATGGAAGACCTTTTGAAGAATATTTCCGCCATAGTCAGAAGGCAAGAGCATCTGGAAGGGCTTAAAGACCCAACAGAAAAAAGTAATGAACTTCCTATCTTCCAACTTCGAGCAACTATAACATGTACCGGATGTGGTCGTAATCACTTGTTCCAATACTGCCCTATCTACCGTACTGTAGAAGAAAAAAATGAGAGACTGAAATCCTCGAAGGCATGCTGGAAATGCTTTAGTAAGAAACAAAGTACAAGAGACTGTTATAAACCTAATTGTCCAGCGTGCCACGGACTTCATAATATCATCATATGCAAAACATCAAGAAACGAAACGAATACAACTAGAAATTCGTACCATAGGGCACAAAGCCCAAGAAGAGAAAACTCTCTAACACGAATGCGCGGTGCTGGAGATACACAACGACGCTTTCGAGATAAATCGCCCAAACCCAGACTGGAAGGCAAGAACTCAAAACCAGAATCACCGTCACGGCCAAGGATGTCAAGGGTCAGATTCGCCCGTTCGCCAACACCACCCAGACAGAACAGAGGTAAGGTCAGAAATTGCTACGCGGTTAAACTTTTTTCATTAACTCAATATGAAGACTTTCCTCTATCTCAAGAAGAAAACAACGAACGTTCTCGACTTATGATCGTGCCTACACGTATCTTCAACAATTCTAACAAGGAAATTGCAGATATTACTCCCGAGAGCAAAGTCGAGGAAATGAATATCGCAAACAACTATACAGGAATAACACGGAATCATGTGGAGGTATCGGTTGCTTCTGCGGTTTTCCATCGTCAGGATGCCTATTTTACCGCATATATCATGTGCCCAAAAATGATGAAATTTTCGAAATTTTCCAGTGCCCGACGTGGTCGGAATTAGTAAGACTAAATTATCAGGAATCGCACAAAAATCGAAAGGTGATTAGCTTCAACAATGTAGGCATAAAACCGCATACATCGAAACAACTGGGAAGCATACGAGTGGAAATCACTTCAGTAACGATTTCGTCAATGACAATAATGTCTAAACGCTTTGTAAGTAATGGAAAAAATACAGCGTTTATCACCGAAGATACGACTTTTAGTTATGCGTGGAGGGAAACCCTTTGAAAGGGAAGTTTACATGCATGATAGAGAACACATGCAACTGTAACCCGGCTGAAGACTCCGCAAATTGTTACTGTAAGCATAATAACGTGAGCGCCCTTTTTAATTTATCACATTTCAAGCCTATAACATTGCCTAATGGCATCATAACATCAGAGAAAAATGGGGAGCTTATGATATACACAGAAATGGCCACTGTAGAGTTGGCAATAACATTGGAAGCTACGGTAGCGGAAATAAATTTGCAATATACCTACTTCACTTGTAATATCGTCCCAACTTCAGTAAGAGGGTGCTATAGCTGCATGAAAGGTGCCGTCGCCGAAATAACTTGCTACTCAGACGTTCCGCACTCAACTGCACAAGTCTATTGTTCGAATCAAGAGTTCACTCTTTCGTGTGCCCCAGAAGGACTCAAAAACAAAGTGCGATTCTTTTCAAACGCCGCAACTGTGAAGGAGCAATGCAAAGCAGAATGCGGAAAGCATCCAACGCATTTCAAATTGGAAGGAACATTAAATTACATAAATGGAATGAAGCCAATCCTGAAATATTTTCAAATAGGGAATAAGACTGCAAATCCATCAGAAGATTTTACAGTTCTCTTGCCCGACGTAATGCACTTCTTCGATATCTGTAGAAAATATTTCATCAATACAGTAAGCGTAATTGCCATCATTGCGCTTGTAACGCTTATCACTGCAGCAAATCTTGGTGGATGTTTGAATTCCCACGAAAAGCGCAACAGTCTGCACTTGCTGATGGTAATGCCGATGTTCCTTCCCCTCCGAATCATTTACTCTTGCTTCCTCGCGCTACGGCGCCTTCTACGTTTTTTTCTTTTCTTTGCACGTAGAATTATTTTGTTACCATTCAAACACTTCCTTTGAAAGACTTCGTAATGTTACTTATAGTAAAGAAATTGCAATTTTACTGAAATTCTATTTGCAGATGAACGAAAAACGAGCAACAGGAACGGCCCACCGCCTGAGGAGCTGGAACCGGTCCATCCACCACCGGACAGAGAAGAGGAAGTAGAAGATCAAATGGAAATAATTGGAAACGAAAGAGTAATCGTAAACTTCGGACGCCCAATAGAACCACCTGACATCCAGCCAACCACGGGAATTCGCGCAGAACTCATCAGAATAAATGCCAAACTGGAAAATATGGAAGGAAAACTCACGACCATCGCGGTGAGATTTAAATTTCAATTGAAAGGTTGATGAAGAGGGGTCCATAATTCTTCTCTATTGGAAAGTTTTAAGAGTCGGAAAAGACCCTCTTCAGCAACACCTGTGAAGGAATTTACAAAATTCAGAAAGGTAATTAATATAGTAAAATCTCCAAAATCGATAATTTTTCCAATCCCAATGTCAAACTTTCATTTTCAGCAGGCCACGCAGTATCACACAGCGCAGATGCAACGTATGGAAAATAGATATTGGGAAGAAAAACTACAAGGAAAACAATTTGGGGAAGGAAAAGAAAAGATGGAGGAATACCGGAAACGCGAAGAAGCGGAAAAGGAAAAGGAAAAGAAGAAAAGGGAAAAATCACCCTCTCCAGGTCCGAGCAATCGTCAGCCTATCTGTATTTTCTGCTCTGGGGACCATTTCGCGACCCAGTGCAGACAATACGCAACATTGGAAGAAAGATACTATCGAGCACGAGAACTGAAAAAGTGCGATTGCTGTTTGAAAAAGGGTAACCATCTTGTAACTTCCTGCACTTCGAAATCGCTTTGCTACTACTGCGAAAGGGCGGGAAGGTACAAGGAGGCGGACAAGCACCATTCCGCTGCAGTTACGAGTTCGATATGACTAGAGACTGAGTTTGAATTGAAATTGTAATTTTTGTAATCGTCGAAACTATGTAAAATTCATGTTGTAACTCATTTCAAAATCTTATGGAATCATGTGTAACAGTAATAGTAACTGGAATCTTGCAAGTGTAATTGTAACATTTCTAGTACCCTAAAGTGTAATTGTAACATTGTAACTGCTGTTTCATTGACTAGTAATTTTGAAATTGTAATCTCTGGTAATCACTTGAAATGTGTAATACGAAATCACTGCAATAAAAGCAATTAGTTATTCATTGTAAATCTTTAAAAAATAAAATTAAAAAAAAACAAATAAAAAATAAATAAATAAAAATAAAAATAAATAATTTAACTGGGAAAAAGCGAAAACAAATTCAAAAATAAGGGAAAAAATAGTAACATCGGGAAAAAGAGTAACTGAATGAAAACTTCCATGCCAAACAGAAGGAGGACGTCACCGGCGCGCAATCTACACTGTTTCATCTATTTTCTCGGACACGTCAGGATATTGCCTTCTTCTCAGACACGAGGACACATCTTCATCTCATAACTGAGTTAATTTTAGATTTGTACAGCTTTGTATGTGAAAATTTACTAATCCCTAAGTAACATTTACTTAATTATTTCTATTACTCGCCAGAGATTGTAGTAAAGATAAGCGAAAAAAAGCGGGCGGGAGGCACGGCGTTAACTACGCCGTGTCAACAAACGTGAAGTCGGGAGTGTCATGAACCTTGTTCATGATGAACAGCAACATGTGAGAAGCACGCGGCGCGCCTTCGCGCGTATATAAGCCGCCTGAAAATAGGCGAGGGATGGCTTGTTCTTCCACTTTCCCTTGTATTAATGTTATACGGGTCGGTACGCTATGCTTCCCCTTTATTATATCTGTGTAACTAGAGCTTCTCCCCTTGAAATGAAGTGGAAAAGAGGAAATAGAAAAGCCCGCAGGAAAGGTTGGAAATGGAATGTAAGTAGGGTTTAGTATTGTATCAAATGAGTTAAGACTTGGGAATAGTGATTAGTCAACCATTAAGAATGGAATGGAAGTAGGATTAGTATTAGAATTCTCGTTGTTATCATAAATAAAGATGTGTCCCCTCATTTGTTCTTCCACATTATTTGGACCATGAATAAGGTTCAAAACATGGTGCATCGGCCAAACTGGTAAGGGCCTACATGAAATAGTGTAATCAAAGAAAGCACAACCGATAAAAGAGGTGAAATCAGTAAATGCTCTAGAAGGACCCACTAGAGCACTATTTTCATTAGTATGAAGATTAAACATCATTTAAAAGCTTGAACCACGAACATGAATAAGGTTCAAAACACCAACTTTGGAGTGTGAAATCAATCTAGACTACCTCAGGTATGATTGTCTGAGTGACCTCACATCTTACGACTAGTTCACACGCAAATTCGATTGTGTTACGGATCGATTTATATTGAAGATAGCAGTTTTTGGAAGCAAAATAAAAGAATTTTGTTATTTGAAGCATATTCGAAAAAATTAAATGCAGTGTGATTTTCCTGAAATCTAAAAAAGTTTGTGTGATACGATCGCAATTTTTAAAATGAGTGATATCTGATTGTGCGAAACATTACCGAATGTAATGATGTACAAAGTTCTATAATGAGAAATGATCTAAAAACTGATTTTCAATTTAATTGATTTTGAAATCTACTGTTATCCAATTGCAACCAGCTGAAGAAGCATGAACGAAGTACAGTGCTGGCCAAAAGTTTGCAGCCACTCCAGAATTTTGCTATATCTTACTCTGTTTCGCATAAAACGATTCCAAATTATGACTTTACGTGCATTTCACACTACTTAACACTATGTCAAGAAATTTTACAGTCACATGCACACCGAAGGGGTCTTTGAGGAAAATCGTGAAAACGGCTGAATTGAGGTTGGTCAAAACTTGCAGCCACTTTCTTCTAAATGTCTTTAAAAAACTTTCACAACTCGTCACTTTCCAGTATGTGGGCTACATATGCACCAATAAACCTTGAGATATGCAGTGCAGCCAGCTTTCATCAAACTCCCAAAAAGGGAACTTTACTGAGCAAAGTTGCTTGAGCGCAAATTGACCGCAAAAATTGATTAAATCATGAGTTTGTTGGGAAATCATCGCCTGATCTATGCTCCTATGAAAAGGTTGCACCATCTGGACGTTTAGTGGCAATTTGCGAATGTGACAGAAAAGGCATTAGTTGGCATGTTTCAAAGACTACCATCACCTTAACTCAGATTCGGAGCATCTTTCGGCTCAAAAACTGGGCTCAGCGGTCTGAGAAGTTTTCAAGCTTGGCTAGAACATTGCTTTGAGGAAGACGAGCATTGGTCCGAAACTCGGAGAACTCCAATGAAAACATGGAGGCGCTACTGCCGAAAAAAATTTGCACAGTCTTCAAAGCTGATTAATCCCTTTGACAAATCAAACATTTCCTAGGTGTGATAATTGCAAAAACTTTTCTCTGGCAGTAGCGCCTCCATGCTTTCATTAGAGTTCCCCGAGCTCCGGACCAATGCTCGTCTTCCTCAAAGCAATGTTCTAGCCAAGTTTGAAAACTTCTCAGACCGCTGAGCCCAGTTTTTGAGCCGAAAGGTGCTCCGAATCTGAGTTAAGGTGATGGTAGTCTTTGAAACATGCCAACTAATGCCTTTTCTGTCACATTCGCAAATTGCCACTAAACGTCCAGATGGTGCAACCTTTTCATAGGAGCATAGATCAGGCGATGATTTCCCAACAAACTCATGATTTAATCAATTTTTGCGGTCAATTTGCGCTCAAGCAACTTTGCTCAGTAAAGTTCCCTTTTTGGGAGTTTGATGAAAGCTGGCTGCACTGCATATCTCAAGGTTTATTGGTGCATATGTAGCCCACATACTGGAAAGTGACGAGTTGTGAAAGTTTTTTAAAGACATTTAGAAGAAAGTGGCTGCAAGTTTTGACCAACCTCAATTCAGCCGTTTTCACGATTTTCCTCAAAGACCCCTTCGGTGTGCATGTGACTGTAAAATTTCTTGACATAGTGTTAAGTAGTGTGAAATGCACGTAAAGTCATAATTTGGAATCGTTTTATGCGAAACAGAGTAAGATATAGCAAAATTCTGGAGTGGCTGCAAACTTTTGGCCAGCACTGTATTAGAGAGTTTTCCAATAGCTGCAACGCATTGTCAAGGGGGCAGAGCGATCTGCGCACCGCGTACGGTACTCAGCTGGCGGCTGGCACATGCTACCCTTCAAGTCATTCACCCACCTATCTTTGAGTTTGTTTTACAATATGCAAAAATTAGCTTATGTTGCTCTTGTTCCTTTTGCAGGAAAGTGCGGTAAGACCAAGAGATCATAGCTTCGCTATCAAAATTTCTCGAAATAAATCAATAACTCTGTTTCGGTATGCCTTCGGAAAGAATGCCGAGATTTTTTTGTGAAAAAGGTTCAGATATGCATTTTTAATGCATGAAAAAATAGGGTATTGATAACTACCAATTTGTTACATCCGAGAGTGAATTGATCACGTCAATCAGAACATCACTACCTTAACTTTGATCCTATATAGCCAATTCTGTGAACTTTGGACCTCCTTTCTTCTGATCCTATAAAATACACATATTATTTAAGCATCGATGCGAAATACGGAAAAATCTATCTAAAGTAGACATATATTTTTCGCCCACAACAGCCTGTCACATCAGCGTGAGAAGAAAGGGGAGGGGGACAACAAGTGCATATTGTTCACCTTACCTCAAAAATGACTTCCTTTGATCGACCGGTCTTCTTGGCACCAATCTTCTTCTCAGGTCCAACTCCCTTCTAAAATGGCTAGATTATATTATAAAGTCTCAAAATGAATTGCCATATTCAAAGGGACATAGACGCAAGCGTGAGCATTGAATAGAAGTGCGCAAGTATTTTCATCCTTGCCCCTTTTTGAATCCATCTCAAAAATCTTTCTTCTTCTCGTTATTCAACCAGTCTGATTTTCTGCGGTACTGTGCGCAGAATTTACTATCTTTATGCGAATCGAATAAAGAAAGTAATGCAGTGTGACTTGCAATGAGCTTGCTATGTGCACATATCATATGACATTAATTGTCAATATGAGAAAGCATGTGCATACTGCTGATAACATCAGTCAGTGCTAATTTTTGAAGGCACATGGCAATGGAGCGATGAAGACGTAAGACATGGCGTGTGCCTTACGAACTTTCGAAAAGACACCACAAACTCAATCACATAAGCTCGTAGAAACCCCCCCCCCTTCAAGACATTTTTCTTAAGGTGGACCGGAGGTGATCTCATCGCGCCTCAATTAGTACTTTTTAATGGATGAATGATCATTATCAGTGAAATCGCACTAAATGGCATACAATTGGACCTTATGAACAAACTCCTCTCTCTTAGGCCTAGGATCAACACTTATCATTTATCACTACACCTCCCTTAGCCAAAAATATCCGTAGAAATGTCCTGATGATCTAGCTGGTTTACACTCATTTGTCTGTTATTGACTATATGAGTGTACTTATTGAAATGTGGTGAATCCAAGTACATCTCTTTTCTAACCCTCAATGATCTTACGTTAGCCTTTGAGTAGGTCTAGACTGGCTTGAGAAAAAAGTGCAATAGTGCAGCTTCTTTCTCTGGTCCGTATTCCATTAAAGAATTTTTTTGGCAGTCCTTGATATTCGCATGTGTACTGCTCGTGTGTTCTGCTATGGAGGGGTTGCTGAGCTCTGTTCTTCAGCTGCACTATACAAGCAGATTGTTTATATAACAAGCTGACAATGTTTACCTAGCGTCCATTAGTTGTTAGACAAATTGCTGACTGGACAAATGCCTTTTTGGGATGCCTTGAATTATTTTCCGGGCAATAAATTCTTAGGCTCGTATGCATGAACATCCCTGCGGAGGGAACATCCCTGTCCCCAATGATGAAAAAGCCGCTTGCGGTCCTTTATAAAGGGAGACGCCGCTTCGTTCGTCGCAGGGATATTCATGCATGCGCGCCATAAATTTTGAAAAGGAAGCATGATTTTATTTTATTTTTTTTATTTTTAATTGATTTTATTCTACTTGGTAAAGTCACCTTCACAACTGTGCAACTAATGCAGCTCACTTGCAAACCATTCTCAGGACACCTTATCCCCTCCTCTCTTCCATTTCCTCAACCCTCCACCGGTAGAAAGCCGAGTAGATGCAAGTAAAATAGTAACTATAAGATGTACAATGTGATCTAAAGGAAGACGAGCGCTCGAAATGTGCCGAAAAAAATTGTCAATCTCTGGGTAATCAGATCTTGTTGTATGAATGGCCAAATACAATACCGCTCATAATCCGTCGAAAAAGCGCCGGACTGCGACACACTCGTCGGAATGCGCTGCAGTGTGTCGGAGTGCGACGCAATCCACTAGAGTCCATCGGAATCTGCGTCGCATTGCGTCGCCATATCTGCTTCAAAATGGAGAAATTCTGAATCCGAGGACACTATTCAGTTCAGCTCGGCGAGTGCATCATAAGATATAGAAGTGCCACAGCCTGTCGACGTCTGTAAGTGTACGGTAGGCAGCAAGTTTTCGCTCAGTTTCGCACATTTTTGTTTGGTTAGATTATTCAGCTTGCTGATAACAACATCATTGATTTGTTGCTGATAGCACTCCATACGGATACTGCTGGAGTATAGTGAAAAGTCCCTCTGAACATTGATTGATTTTTTCTAAGTCTACCTAGGGTATTTCTGATGCGCTGATTGCGGTAATTACATTCATTCATTGCTCAAGGCATAGTGCGCAGAGAATCTGTGATTCAAAGTCATTTTACTTGCGTTAGAAACGTCGCTTATAGTTGCTTTCATGTGTTGCTCGTTCTGACCAAAAAAATCGCATGCCTGGGCCATCTGAAACGAAATGGTGTCCTCAAATGCGCCTTGGTAAGCTAATTTTCAATTTCCTCTCCTAATTTTTTGAACGACTTTCTAGTACAATGTTATAAGTCTCCAAACTTCGCAAACAATCAGTGTCACACCAGAAATTAGCGGCCTTCATTATGTATCTAATAAAACTTTTGCTCTTTGTTGTGAGTACACGCACATCATGCCCATCATGGTCTTTGGATTGGTCTTTAAAGTATAATAACATGCAGACGCAACAATGATTGTTAAACTTCCAACCGCTCATAACTTCTCACAGAAACTCCAGCAGCAAAGAAAGCTAGATATCCTTATCAAGACTCTCTGGATATGCATCTTTCCAAGATCGACAGTTGTGATCCTAAGGTCATTTCCTGTACCATAGTAGCTAATATTCATTACGACGTCATGATGTAGAGTACAACTGACGTTGTTACTTAGCGCTTACGTAATTTTGCTGTATATAATAAGCATAACATTTTCGTGAGCACGTGTTTTCACAATAACATATCGCAGCGCACATTGCACATAAAAAGATTTAATAAGTGCCGAATATTGTTGTGCCGAAGGTTGTTAGGTGATCCTTACATTGTTAGTGCTCTTCGGCCTTACGTTTCGACGCTTTCTTCTTCATCAGAGGCCTGGAATAGTTCAAAGCTTCATCCGTAACTCCAGCCCATCAAACATCTCCACCAGCCCTTGCCAGTTCTCGGCTCTTCCCCCAATCTAGTGCTACAAGAATTGTGATGACAAAAGACATACCAGGGAATCACCGCTTCGTTAGATGTCCGTACGTAATAAGTATTTTTCAGTAGAGCTGTGTCCACATAACATCTTTGATAGAAAACCACTTAGAGGCTTTTCCTCATCCGAGCTGGGTTTCGCGTTGATCTGAGGTCTTCACTTCCGTTCTGCGGACGGGTTTATGTAAGTTCGCAACTCATTTCTGTAGATGGGGGATGGGGGTCCCGCAAGCATCACGCGTTAGAGCAGCCTCCTAGTTTCTAGTCGTAGACGAAAAGCGCAGATAGTCTTTTGCTGTGAGGAAGCAAATGGATATCAAGACCTAAAAACTGCTATCGTAGCCCTATATTAAGAAGCTATCTTGAAACAAGATATGATCTTCATAATCAACAGGTCGGATAACCCCTATGGGCAGACTTTCTGAGAAAATCGGGACATTTGATTTTTCCTCTTTCCTCGCTCTTGAGCTCGCCGCAGGTTTTAACTGAATTATTATTGATCTTGATTCGACCTGAAACTTCGCTCACAAAGATTCTAGGGCCCGCTGTATACAAGAAAGCTAGATATCCTTATCAAGACTCTCTGGATATGCATCTTTCCAAGATCGACAGTTGTGATCCTAAGGTCATTTCCTTAGCTATCCTGCACGAAAGGGTTTTACTGTAAAGTTGCAATAGTGGGATCTAACTAAGTCACGCAAGCTCGCAAGTTTGCCTGCTCATATGCTAGCGAACTTGCCTGCGCATTTTTGGAGGTTAGACTCTTTGTAAACAGTACAGTCGGAGCATGCTTCATGTGTGCTGCTTCATCTGTACTATTCCCCAGATTATGAGCTTACGAATTCACGTTCCCATGAATTTTGACCTAAAATTAGTAAAAAAACGCGTATTTTGGCGAAATGTGTCACAAGTGCCTAACACACTGGTTACAAATACCAAGTTCATCTCGCAAGTGAGAAACCCAAAGAAGTGCGCCGCAGTCCGGTAACTTTTTTGACGAATTATGAGCGATAATGTATTGCTGCGACGGCATTATGTAGATTCACATTTAGTTCTCAATACCTGTGAAATTTACGAATAGGCGAGTTTACATGGTGTTATAGAGAGTTTTCAAAAAGCAATGTGACGCACCGTGCTATGCTTTAGATAAAGCGCAGTCGAAGTAGTTGTTCAAAAGAAGCAAACGACAAGCGCAGATTACAGGTTCGTAATCTGTATCTGGGAAACGCGTTAAGTAAAAAGAGTACTCTTTTTTAAATTTGAGCCCATTTTTTGAAAAGGCTCTTATAAAATATGTTCTTTAGTTGAAGAACAATTTTTTGTAGATTCTGTGAGGTCTGTGTCCCGACCACGTGTCAGGAAAATCGTTTTGGTCCATTTTGACATGCTTTTTTTTCTCGATACCATTTCCGGTGCGGTAAAAGAGCATATGTGATATTACCTGCAAGCTGTTTTATTGTTTTCTATAAAAGCAAAACAACCTAAAACTCATATCAGAACATCTATAAAGTTATAAGCCATTTCTGTGGGATGAAATTCATGGCGGGTCAATCTTAATTAGTCATTACAATTATTTAGCACCCCAGTATAGCAAGGATGTGCGCCTTAGCACTATGAAGAAAGTTTATCATGCAGTTAATATGGGCAAACATTCCAGAGCAGCAAAAAATTGCACTGTGATCTTGTGCTTGCTATGCGTCTGAATTTTTGTTTGAAAAGCTATTCAAAGCCGTTTTGTAGATATGCACAAAGACCAATTCCTAATCAACGTTCAAGGTGAGCTGTCGGTGCAAATAAGATCTTGACCGGGCACTTCAACCAAAAGTACTTTACTGGTGAGCAAATTGGATTAGCAGTTTACAAATTGTTTACTACTGTTTACTACTCTAGGCATACTAAATAGACTGGGTTTCTCACCTGTGCTTCGACATCTCCAACCTTGACAACAGGAGTCGCTGCTGCCGGAGTTGCTGCTAAGCCTTGCACTCGCATCTGAAAGCCAAAGCAAATCAGCATTTTTTGTGAAGGACCAAGAAAATTCATACTTCCAAGGAGGCGCCTGAGGCTGCTGATAAGATCCGTGGATCGAATTGGTACAGTTGTCGATTTTTTTGCTGTTAAACAAAAATTTTCTCCAATGCTTGCTCAGCTACATATGCGATCAGAAGAGCTATTCTCTTTACTTAGGCTACCAATGACGTCGTTTGTGATGCTTCGTAGCTGGTGGGTAATAAAATTTGTAGCTATGAATCAGAAGTGTTGAATGGACTGAGGCCTAATATGCGCTAACAAGGGAAGGCTACTTGGTGACCGTGGCCATTCGTAACAATTTGTACATTATAAAATGCGCCTTTTAATGCTGGTTCGAATACTATCTTCCATATCTGCAAAACGATAACCTGGACGGAGTTATGTTTTTTCCTTGAATAATTTGCGCTATTGCGGAGGGTCAAAATCAGCTAGTTTTTCCTTTTTAAATGCTAAGTAAGTATGATTAAAATAGGTAAAACGCGACAGTATTCCTTTTTTTTGAGATTCTCTTCGATAGCTTCAAACGGTAACTTAGAGCAAATTTGGTGATTTTAGCTACACGTAAATACGCACATTTTCTACGAAAAAAGTTCATAATTTCGTAGATCATTTCGCAGATATTGAGCACAGAATTAGAATCAGCGTTTTGAAATGCATTTTACGGTATACATCGCATTCCAAATGGCCACTGCACTGAGTATCCTTTCCTTTTGAGTGGCAAGTCAGAAATCTTGCAGATCATACTTGTCGCTTTTGTGATAATTTCTTGGAGGGAAGGCAAAACATCAGGCATCACGTTTAGCCAAAGTTTTCGGCAGTGAGATAAGCAGTACGAGCTTGACTGAGAAGTATATATGCGCTTATGAGTTTGTCCACATATAGCATATCCACATTTAGTATTATTTCGTATCGTTAAGCCAGAACGAGATGGTGAAGGACTTGTTACTGGCTAACTTTCTGCCAGTTCACAATCGTGAAAGTCGCCTGGATTGCAGATCAACTTGCGGTCTACTCGAAAAAAAATTTTCCAAAATGTGCAAGAAAATCCATGAGTCTGAACAAAGTATTCCCTCGGGCAATGACTGATTACAACACTACCAATGCTCATAAAGAAGGCATAAATGATAAAAGAAATGGTGAAAACTGCTAAAATACGATTATCAAAAAGTGATAAAGGAAGAATTTGTAGTGATCTCTCACTACTTGGAGGCTGCGCTCAAAGAGAGGCATTTAGAAGACCAAACCTTCTACCGAAAATCCTCAATTGATGAGTTTCAAAAACAATACCGCAAGTTGAACAAAGTGGCAAAAGGCAGCGAAAGCAATTAATCTACCATTTGATTCAACTGGCTTGGCATCGGCAAAGGCGGGGCTTCGTAACCTAATTAAGGCTAAATGATGATCAGAGAGCACTCGCGTGAGAGCGGCCTCAATTAGATCACAAAACTCCGCCCTAATGGTGCCAAGCCAGTTGTATCAAATGTTACTGTCTGAAAACATCAGGCGCCTCAAGACTGACTGACCGACTTGCCCAGTGCTTTACTTACTCAAGCGCACAAGATCGAATCCGCCGACGATTCAAAATCTGATGATCCCGCAAAAAGTGAGACCGATGATTAGTTGCGTAACAAGTTTACAGTTAGAGTTGAATGGTTCCTGAACGCTACACTAACATAGTTGTTTCAATTCATCCCTTCCCATCTGGGGCGGTATGTAACAATTGCCCGTCCGGGTAAGTTACTCGGACAGGTAGTTTCCGCTTCATAGCTCGGTGCCCTGGGAGTCTGTGTTCTTCCTTGTTTGTTCATCTATTGAGGGCTCTACTACCCTGATATTGTAGCACAATGACTAGCAGCACTTTGCTGTATAAGCTGAGATAATTCGTTATCTGTATGATCCCGAACGGGATCTCTCCCACTGATCACGCTCATTTTCAAAGTCATCTACATCCGCAAAAACTCAATGAAAACGTCACAGAGTTTTGCTGTCGATTTATTACGACAGTGCTACGCATATTTATGAAAAAAATAAGTGAAAAATTAAGTTGACAAAATCTTCGATGAACCTGTGCTCACAAGTTAGGCTTTATCGAATAACTCAAAACTTGCATGCCATAGAGTTATCTGACGTCAACGCCATATACAAAAACGTACCCATCGACTCGGGATGCAAGCCGTTCCTGAGCTATCAACGCATGAATAAGATATCAGGTTTTACAATCATCGTCGCTCAAATTTCGACCATGCTCAAAGCGTGTCTAGAATGCAATGTATTCAAAGGACCTGGAAAGTACTTTCACAAATTAGAGGATTGGCTATGAACCAAGAGTGGCTCCTTACAGTCGCTATCATTTTTATGACCATGATCGAAATGTCTTGTTATGCTGCAAAGTGATGAATCGATCGACAATCAGAACACATGAAATAGCCGCGAGAAAACTTGTAAGTGGCTGCCGTTTTTGAACGTTCAATTCAACATCGCAACGGCATTTATGCAACGAGATGGTTATAGAACCAAGCAATAGAGATATACTTATCAAATTTCAATTAGCTCATCTGCAACATATGAAGTACACTGTCATAAGAAATATGTTCCGTACAGCCTCGACAGTTTGCAGTGATGAAGAGAAAAAATAAGAATCACTAGTCAATGCGCACAAGATAGCGGTCCCTAATGGCTATGAAGACAACATTCGCAGAAACTCTTAGCGCAAAACATGAGCAACTGACTTCAGCTAAACAAAAAAGTCCTTCTGCTTGCCGTTTATCAGCGATGAAGTGAGTAAAGCAATGCGGCAATCTTTAGAGAAAACAAGTCTGGATTTATTTTAGGATGAACTTTGAATGATGTAAACTATTCCAAATGATCTCAAACGTATCCTGGCCCAAAACCGCATACACGATCGCTATTGTAGCACACCGAACTGTGTGATTTGCCGATCAAACGCGGAGCTGCATGCGTTTTGGAGTAATTTATATCGTCACATGTCTGGGATGCGGGGTTGTTTATATGCGAACTGCTCAACCATTACGTATTCACATCAAATAACACTTCGATGGCAAGGAAAAGTCATGTTCAACACCACCGGGCACTCACAGAACGCACATGAAGGCTGATCTCGAATCAAACTGCAGATCCTAGAGCATTAACAGAGAACATCCGCTCGCAAGACTCTGAAATCTTTCATATTCACAACCGTAATCCACAAATGAACGAAAAGCAGACTATCTTGCTATTACTGGTAAGCTTCGACCATATATGGGTTGTCTTCTAAAATATCATAAATGTGCACTTACACCAATACTACGGTACTCTCATACTGCAAAAGTCCAGCGAGAGTATAGCGCGAGAAATACTCTTTTTAGACTTGTGAATTTCTTGCATATTTTGGAAAACATTCGTTTGGATAATCCGCAAGTTGAATCGTCCAGTTCAGGTTCTGGCTACAGCGAAAGCGTAGCCGGTAAAAGGTCTTCAACAATCTCGGTTGTGGCTTAACAATACAAACTAAGACTTAATCGCGTTGGAAAAGTTGAACATTTGACTTATCAACACTATTATGGAACGCTCCCCACCAACTCGTTGATAACGGCACCTAACTACTCGTGATTGTGCAGTGAATTTGTGATTGCACAACTTTTTTGGCTCGAAGTACTAGTTGTTTGCATTCTCCCTGCTGACACTTATGCGCAATTGATTTTTGCGTCTTTACGTGTTTTCGTCCGATTATCTGCGCCCAATATCCGTTAGACTCCATTATCCCGTATATAATCGACAAGGAGATCACCAGCATTATTTGGCAGAATGACTGCACATCGTGAGATATGTACAGTCTGCCCTAACTCTAATCAGTCCAAGATTGGCATGGTGGAAGTCCGCGTCGCTACGTTTTGCGTCACTTTTACGTCCTGCTTGTCTGACCTCTCGTCAATTTCTTCCAACAGTGCGCACTCAGACAATCGCCGGGGGCAGGCGGGCACCGGAAGAATAGATTGCTGATCTCTCGCACCCCGCTCGCGGATTTTTTGGAAAGCAATCAGGACTTTTCGGAAGACCGCTTGCTGAGTTCTCGATTCCTCAGAGATTCAGCAATATATCTGCAAAAGATAAGAGCGAAAAAAAAACTCAACAGGCGGTCTCTCAAAAATCCGCTGATTCAGCAAGCGGTCTTCCGAAAAGTCCTGATTGCTTTGCAAAAAATCCGCGAGCGGGGTGCGAGAAATCAGCAATCTATTTTTCCGGTGCCCGCCTGCCCCCAGCGATTGTCTGAGCATATGCGGCGCAACCCCTAGCGCTGCGAGCAAATCATCCAACGGTTCAACCTGCTTTCAATTGGGGCGTACTGTACAGACTAGCTTTGATTTTTCTCCCGTCTGATCAACGCGCTGTTTACTAATTACTGCTTTTGTTACGTAATTCAGGAGATTTATGAAAGTCCTGCGGTAAAAGCTGGAAACCACGGTTTTGTCTCGATATCAATCAAACGAGTTAAAATTAGCTATCATATTTGCTATGCAGCAAGTGATTGAGCCAAACGCAACTCATTACGAGCCAGCTAGCCTTGGCGTAGTTTCATCCTCATAAACACGACGCAATGCTGGAAGTGCATTCTGATTTGAAATAATTACGGTATTCGTAAACAGTTAAAATTATCTACTCTGCAAATTTTGAGGCAAATCCGTGGTTTCCATACGTAAGTCCCTAAAAGGAGTTGCCATTAGAAATAAGCACGATATACAATCAGCATGTTGGGTTACCTCAGTAAACGTAACTTTTGAGTTAAAGGCAGTGTCCCGGCAGATTCGGGTCCTGGGGGATATACGTGTGGTGGGGTTCCTGGTCACCCCATCGACCTCCAGGCGCACTCCGGCTGGGTGATGTTTTCCCTGGGCCAAGAAAATGGCCCTTGAACCGACGCGCGCGACCCCAACTGGCGCGCGCTTGGACGGCCTTCCCCGCCTGTTTGGCGCGGGACCCCACCAGCGCTCTCCTCCATGATGCATGCTATCCAAAGCAAGAATTACAGGCGGCAGGATCTTCGTCTGAGGACCTCCCCCAACTTTCCATTAAAAATCTCGTCCAAGCTGCTTTTTTGGAATTAGGAAAACGCCCCAAAATCGGCCTTTTCAGCCCGTTCAAAGCTCCAATTCGGATTCTACGTGGCGAAAAGGCCTAAAACATGCAAAAAGGTGGAGGTGCGAAATCTGCCGGGACACTGCCTTTAAGTTCAAATTTTGACCGTTTGATTAAAATTTTTCAAGTCGCTTACTAGACCTTGGGTTGCTTCGTAAGCAACTGCTAATATTCTTCAACTCGGCAGCCTTTACAGGTTCCAAGAAAACCGTGGATTGCTTTCTTTAGAGTACATTGGATTCTACTCTAATTTCTCTTTGCTGGTTGCCCAAGCGCTTGTCTACGCGAATAACTAGGCGGGGAGAGGGCGTGACATTCGCTTGAGCTATAGCGTGCAAACAGTGCAGATGTGGTGAACAACCTACAATAGTCCTATCTGCAATTTTATTTTATTTCTATTAGGTATCAAAGCTCGCTCTGTCGCATACGTTGCATAGAGTTATAGCACACACAATAGAGAGGAAGTCACCGTTTTCTGCAAAGAATGACTTGGAGTCGAAAGTTCATGATCGATATTTGGTGAAATAAACTCGTTTATGACTTCGCGCTCTTCAGCTGCAAATATGGTGATTGACGTTGTTCGATATTGACACCCCCTTACCTTGTCTATTCAGTAACTCTTCTTGTCTCCTCCATTCCAATTTGAGTTCTTTATATTCATGGTAAACGGCCAAAACTACAAGTATGAACAGAACTACGATAGTCATCACGCCTACAAACTTCATTAGGGAAGTCGTTGGGTCGCTGAAAGAGGCAATATTAGTGTAACTTACTTCTCAGGTTCAGCATTAAAAGGAAAGGCACTCAATCTATTAGGTTGTCCCGAAAGTTCGTTCGCACCATTTTCAAAAATTCATAACTCTTCAAATTCTCAACGAATTTGTACGAACAAATTGCTCAAGAGAGGAACTCATGCTCTTTGCATCTGTACCTGAAATGTTCGTTAATATATACAAATGAAGGAGATATAAGCTTAAAACCAAAATCACTCAAAATTTGAATTTTTCGTGTACGGTCATAAAAAATGGGAAACTTGCAACAAAAATCGGAGCAGTGGATATTGTAAGTTCTTTCAGCAGCTCTTTCTAATTTTGCAGAGTTTGCGCCGATTGAGCGTCTCTATGGAAAGTTATGATTTTCGAGCAAGCAATATAAAAGTTCGAATTTGATTTATTTTGGCATTTTTCAGGGAAATCATAACTTTCCATAGAGACGCTCAATCGGCGCAAACTTTGCACTGTTAGAAAGAGCTGGTGAAAGGAGCTACAATACCGATTGCTCCGGTTTTTGTTGCAAGTTTTCGATTTTTTATGATCCTTCACGAAAAATTCAAATTTTGAGTGATTTTGGTTTTGAGCTTCTATTTCCTTCATTTGTGCATATTAACGAACACTTCAGGTACAGATGCAAAGAGCATGATTTCCTCTCTTAGGCAAAATTTTGTTCGTGCCAATTCGTTTAGAATTTAAAAAGTTATGAATTTTTGAAGATGGTGCGAACGAACTTTCGGGACAACTTGATAGAATGGCGTTTTTTTCAAACGCTAATTTATTAGGTCGTTCCGAAAGTAATGTCGCTTTTTTCAAATGAACGCCACATTTCATGGAATCAAGATTTTCAAGAGATCTTGAGAGCATTCGATGCAGCATTTCATGCTCTTTCTAACGGTTGTAATTTCATTGCATAATTTTCATTGAGCTTTCGAAAAATTACCAAAATTTGCGATTCAAGCTTTTTTGCCTTGCTCAAGTTCGGCTAATTTTCTAAATTTTTGTACCTATTCTCCGAAGAAGCGCAAGGGACTAATAAATAGAGCGAACCCTATAGGACACGGAGCAATTTTTTTCTTTTTATTAGCTTGTTTCTTAGAGTTTCTGGAGTCAACTTTTCAATGCTATCAAATTCCATATTTGGTCAACTCAAGCCTCACAGAACAGCAACCGGCAAGCAACTCGAGTGTCATTCGATGCATCTTTTTCTCCTCTTTCTATTAGTTGTTTTTTGTTTCCGATCCATCAAGTTTTCGGGGATGAAATCATCAAAATTCAGGTTTTCCAGGGCGCCCAGGCTGTACCCGAAATTTTCGAAAGCTGCTAATCTGAAGCGGTGAATGCTCATTTGGTTTGTAAAATTAGTGTCACACCGTAATCCATCTTTGTTAGTTTCAAAATTCGAAGATTTATTGATGCTTGATGCATTTGTGTCTGAGGTGAGAATGCTAAAATTCGGTGGTTCCATCAAAAAATCTATACAAAAATTATGACGAGCTCTGAAAAGTAGAAAAAAGTTGTGCTGTTTCCTGTAGGGTTTGCTCTATCCATTCATGACTTGGACTTCTTCTGAGGATTGTTACAAAAATTTAGAAAAATTGTGAAACTTGGCCTTTTCAAGAAGCATGGGTCGCAGATCTTGATAATTTTTCAAAAGGTTATTAAATTTTGTGCAGCGGTTACATAATCTTTAGAAAGAGAACGAAATTCTGCATCGAATGCTAGCAGAATCTCTTACATATCTTTGTTCCACGAGATAAGGCGTACGTTTGAAAAAAGCGACATTACTTTCGGAACGACCTAATATATACGCTGTTCCTACCTGCGGCGCATTTTTCGAAGCGAGCCATGAGTTTCTCTTCGCGAAAATGGCATATTACTCATCAGTGGCGACCAAGAGCCCCCCCCCCCCTCCCGAGAATGGGTCGCAAAGTTTTTGAAATTTACTTACGTGGGTTATAGAAATGTGCAAGTGACTTATTTATTCTTGTAAACAGTTAAAATAATCCTTAAAAATTTCTAAAAATTCAAATTAGCCCTAAAAGCAGTTTTTTTAGGAGGGTGGCTAACGTCACATCCCCCTTTTTCTAGATTTTAGGGATTGGGGACCCGCAAATATTTTGAGAAGCACCTCTAAAATTTTCTCGTAGTGGGTGGCTGGCGCCACGCACCTTCAACGGAAATTCTGGGACCGCCACCTGTTACTCTATCGCGTATGGACAGAAATCTGCCCGAAAAAGGTGTGCAATATTAAAAACAACTTCAGATCAACTCTCAGAACTTTTATCATTCGCAAAACTAACGCAGTGCTGTCCGTAAGTCTCATAAAAAGGCAGAGAGCGGAGTAAGGTGAAGAGAAAAGGAGAAGACCTGACATGCCTAGAAAGAAAAAAATTTATCATAAGTGCTAGAGGTCGCTTGCATCACGTGTGCCATCACCTTTTATTCCTAATTAATGTGAGAGTAATCCCCCTTTTTTCAAGGCGTTTGAGCAAACGAATAGCGTTAACTGTCCTTACGAAAAGAAGGCAACAATAGAGACAGAGACATTCGAAACATGAAGGAAGAAGCAGAAAAACTTTGATGTTGGAGAGTAACTTACTAACACACTAGCTGGCAAACCCGGCTCTTCCGGGTTTGCCAGGTAGTGTGTATTAGTAAAATGAAAACTAACAAAGATCGATAAAGTCGATATCGATCGATGACGAAAAGGTAGCCTACGACACTCGCCCCACCCCGAAGGGTATGTGCCAAGTTTGGTCCAAATTGGTTCAGAAATAAGAAATTCTATTCGGAATATACGTACATACAGGCTCAACTTCATATATAAGATTGATATTTGATTGAATGTTACACCAGGAATTGTTTACTTTGAAAACGTAAGGTTGTGTCTTGAGCCAATATTACAACTATCAGTGCGTCACCTCGGTTTCGCAAAGGCTCGCACTGGTTCTACTATATGCCTTACTCTCTTGCCTGATGATGGCTTTGAAACCCACTGCGCATTGCCGATTATTACGAATATATTGTAAACAACTGTCATTCCAAAAGCTTTTTCAAGTGAGATCGGTGATTTCGCGTGGATGGAATTTTTCGCAGAAGAACAAACAGTCTGAATAAGCTCTTGAGCTCTTGGCTTCGTAGCCGCCTCAAGAACAATAATTAAGTGAGTTATATCTTTAGGCAAAAATTCTTATAAATGCTCAGGTAAAACCTTAGCAAATTGACCATTTACGCAACCAATCCTTTTTAGCGTCGTTTTTTCAAAGTAGTAGACTTTTGCTCATTTTTTGTCTAAAGTCCATAGCTTGCACATCAACATGTCAAGCACATCCACGACTTTGCAAAAAGTGAAACACAAACAAAAACACACCACACACACACCACACACACCACACACATACACACACAACACACACACAAACAGACACACACACAACACACAACACACACACTACAAACAGACACACACACACACAAACAGACACACACACAACACACAACACACAACACACAACACAAACAGACACACACACACAACACACAACACACACACACAAACAGACACACACACAACACACAACACACACTCCACACACATACCACACACAACACACAACACACACACAAACAGACACACACACACACAACACACCACACACACACCACACACACACTACAAACAGACACACACACACAAACAGACACACACACAACACGCAACACACACACAAACAGACACACACACAACACGCCACACACACACACACACAAACAGGCACACACACACGCAAACAGACACACACACACAACTCGTAAACATCCTTAGCCCGTTATAATAAGTTACTAGTATACAGTTACTGATATACGAGGCGGCCCAGCTGGTTGGCAGAGCGGGCGGCAAGAAATTAGAAAACATGTGGTAGATTGAAAAGCTCTTCAAACGTACTTTTCTTTTAAAAGTGGTGCAGCAAACATGGTGGTGTTCAGTGCCCTCAGCTGCACATCACCATCAATAACACAAGATGTTTCATCACAAAAGACTAGTGCCTTCCCTCAAACAAACGTACGCCCATTAAAAGTAAGGACAGAGCCGAAAAAACAGAATCAGAAAAGAGTTGAGGTCTTCACAACAGCAAGTTTGGTTGGAAGAACTTCGTCGAATCGAAAGGATTCGTAAGCGCTGCTAGCACAGAGCAAGTTGCAAAAACTTCTAAAACCATAGCCACGCTGCAATAAGCTTGCAATGCGCGGAATCATAGACCAAGAAATGCCAACGTATCTCTTCATGCTCAAATAACAGAAATTGTTATTTTTGCTCCCATCAACTTACAACCATGTATAAATCAAGGGTTTCTTAGTCTGCAAAGTGTTCAAAGTAAAATCAAAAGCGAAAAATTATAACACAAAAAAATTTGAAATCCGAAAATTCATGACAGCCTAATTATCTAGAAAATTTCTTGCAAATTTATTCACGTGCGCAACTTCTGAAAGTTTATTTCTAGTATCAGTGTCTTCAATCAGTCCTACAATCCGACTTTTGATCAAAACTGCGAAAAGTAGTTGGCTTTTCTTCCTACTTCTCACGCGACTTGGACAACAGCCGATATCCTTGAGATCCGACTGAGCTGATCGGGAAGCAAGTTTGTACTACACAGCACTGCTCATTACCTTTCCGATAATAACAGCGATGTTGCTTATCGCTAACCAACTTTTTATACCCAAGGGATGCCGATGTAAAAGTTCTCGCAGTTATCGTGCGAAGCCCCCAATGCCTGCTGATCTTGCGTAAAAAAGCTTACTCAATCTCTATTATCTCCTCCTGTGGAATGAACCTGGAGCTGTTAGTTATATTTGTTGCATCGGATTCGACTCCCTCAGCTTCGTCATCTTGGCTGAATTTGAGTAGTTTGGTGTGAAAAACTTGTATCGGAAAGTTTGAAGTTTATTCAAGCGCTGTAGGATGTAGATACAATTGCGAGGAGTCAAAACAATATCTCACTTTACCCAATCCTTCCTAATGTCGTCCACAGCACTTGTCTATGTCTCATGTAAATTAGCGGTTCTTGAGACTTACGAGTGAGGGACTATGGCCCGTAGTAGACTCCCAGCCCAACTCGGCTGGGAGCGAGCCTATGTTGAACGTAGAGCGCCTCAGTCTGGCATCCGGTGAGCCTTCGATCCGGATTCGGATCGCTTTTCAGACCCAAAGATCTTGTGCGTTCTCAAAAACTCAAGACTCTTGGGCGTTTTGGTCGAGAGGCTAAGTGAGTAGGTTTCAACGCGTAAGACCGTGGTTCAGAGCCTGACAGTGGCAAACTTTTGCATTACCACAGACAATCTTTGATAGCGGTCGCTATCGAGAAAAATCGATGGCAACCGCCATATCGCCAAGCAAATGTTGGATAAAACAAAACTACCACATTTTGACGAGGATCTCATGAAAAACGAAAATTTTGGAACATAGAGCGAATAAAATCAAAAAACCCTTGTTTCAAGCAGTTTTTGAAGGAAAAACGTAATTCTCTGGAAAAAGGAGAATTCCAAGAAATCCTGTTTTTTCGTTTCTTCGCCGCAATCAGCTGTTCATCCATCCTCTCCCATTTAGGCAGCCAAAACGTGCAATTTTGGGAGTTTTGCACCGTGAGATTACGTCGACTGAATTTTTCCGTGAGTTACTCACGAGCTACTTACGGAAAATTTGTCTGATTCTCCTCTTATGCACACTATCTCTCTCGGGTCACCCTAAATTTCAGCCTCGGATAAGTGGCATTCTAGTGAACTGACTGTGACACTTGACCAGACAGCCTTCTGACTGTTGAACTGACTATCCTAAAGCACGGGAAGATGGGCGGGATTGGGTTTACCCGAGGAAGTTCTTCTAAATGACTAATCTCAAGTCACCTGAGATGAATGGGGGGTTTACTACAGGCCTATATGTCGCCGATATGCCCCCCGTGCGGAGAGCTGATACAAACTTGTAGTATTTGTAATTTGCACTGCTGCGTAGTTTGTCGCAGATGGTCGCGTGAGGCCACCTACTTTCGACGAGACATAGTCCCTTACCCGAGGTTTAACGTCTATCAAATGCAGTCTTTCATTTTCCACGGGCGAAACGTCTAATGGAGCAGAAAGGCCCTTAGTTGTCTGATACTTATAAAGAGTTCCATTCTTACCCTTCTTAAATTTTCAGCTTATTTGCCTAGTTTTGTCAGCTACTTCATTTCTGCATGCAGAAAACATCTTTCAAAATCTAGTGTTTCATGCACGACCCATGTGAATTACTTGTTTTGCAAGAAAGCGCAGCGCTGACTGATCTACTAAAGATAATATGCCTAGGGTAAGGCCAGAGATCTGGCGCGCAACCGCTGAATACGACCCTTGTTTCTAAGCCCTGTTGAGTGATATTTCTTTTAAAAATGTGTTCTACTCTTTTTGTACTTAATGCAAAGCACTACTCCTTCTTTGCCAACACTAGGATTAGCACTCTAGATGGCTGGAGATAGATCATGAATTAGCGGCCAGCCATCTCGCTGGGTTTTTTTTGCGTTCAGTGGGTGTGCTTTCAGCAACTATAACTCAGATTGAAGAAGAATCAGGCTCTTACCCAGATTAAGGCTATCGAAAAATATGTAAATTATCCACTAAAGTTTTCCTTTGTGACGAAATATGGAATGTGGCCCAAGACCAAAGAAGATGTGGCTGTCCCTATACTCAAGCATGCACAGACATCCACATTTCAACATCATTAAAGCCGCTGAACTTTTTCCTCTCCTCTTTTCCTTGTAAATTTCAACCAAAACCCTTCCTAAAAAATGTAACAATCTTTTACTTCATATTTTTTATGAAAGTATTGAGAGCGTAGCGTATTAAGGTTCCTACAATATGCATATCGCGAGAGAAGACGACACAAATAAACATTCAATCCAAACTTCGCAGTTTCACTAGTATTTGAGCCAGCGTCTCCTTTAGTCTAAGGCCCCGGACAGACTTCACGCGACTTAATCGTCGCGACCTAATCGCCAAGATTTCCATTCATTTTCATTTCACATTCAAAAATTTCGGGCTGGAAAAGTATCACAACCGAATGCAAGTTGATCGACATGGAATGATGTAGTAACAGCTGTCTCGTCGCGATTCAGTCGCGACAATCAAACCGCGTGAAGTCTGTCCGGAGCCTAACAAATAATTGGTTCCTGCAAGCACAACCCTTGAAAGCGAAGAAGGAGAAGAACGAGATTTCGGCTGGGTCCCAATTCCACAGTGCGGCGGTTACTAGAAGTGGGTTACTAATGTCGGAAAAGAATGAGCAGCGCTTTGAGTTGAGCAAGGTAGTTCACTCAAATAATCAGCTGATCATCGATCCTTTCTCCGTTAAACCCCGAAACCGTGTAGTTTTGCGTAATGTCGCACGTAGCAATAGTCAGCTGACGTATCCCGTAAGCTACTCGCGAGTAAATTACAGGGGTTTCCCTGCGTATCCTTGCAACAACGATCGCGTAAGCCGACCCGGCACCGCCGCGCTCGGCTTACGGCCAGCTAAAATCATTGCGGGAGCTGATGGCTGCTTAGCTTGCGTTCTCAAAAACACCGTCACAGTCGTCTTGAACTTTTAGCAGCTCATGACAGTAGGGCCTTCCATCGAGCCAATGTTCTAGCAACGGCACAAAATATCGCTTCGGAAGCGAGAAAATGCTTTGGAATAGCGAAGGTGCATGAGGGCCCTAAGTCGGCATCGCCTAATCCAGCAATGCCCGCCCATCCCATCCGTGCGCTGCCCACCGCCGTTCCTGAAAGCCGGTCTGCGGGTTTTTTGGAGCGGAAATTGACGGGTTCTCGCGGATTCTCGACTTCATATGTGGAATCGGGGACATGAGAAAGCCCCGGAAAGACCAAAACATGGAAGTCGAGAGTCTGGACTTCGCCTTTGACATCACGAAACTGAAGTGGGGAAGGTTGCAAGACCAGCTTACGGAATTTATTGAGGGGTCAGCTCAGGCCTTCTGAGCTGACAAACTTTACTACGGGCCGATTTCACTTGAATTAAAGCTAAGCAGCGTCTTCCTTCAGAATGTGTGTCAAGTCAGAATTCTCTTCCGTCTGATGCAGGTACATTTTTAGCTTTACTACTCCTGCATATTTCTCTCCTGTGTTTCTTTCAGAATTGAGAAGTAATCAAGTTTTGTTTTAAAAAAGCGTACCTTCTTGTAGAAGTAATCATCAGAGCAAAAGAAAAGGCCTGCTTTGCGTGCACGACTAACAAAATGAGAAATTCAAGCATGTGGCTAATTGCCATTGACTTTGACAGCGATTATCTTATTTTTGTAGTAAATCCATGGTGTTCATTCAAGTAGGATTGGTAGCATGGTTGATTGCACGAGTGAAGGGTCTGGCATTGTCAACGCGATTTCAGTCGCTATGCGAATGGGCATTCTGCCAGATGTTATCAAATTCGCCTATTAATGCATAGTGTGAATGTTCGTAAATGTGAAATACCATTTATTTTGTGCAGTCATTTTGCGCTATGAGTTACGAGCAATTGTAGCATTGTCAAGTCGAGTGGCGACCGGAATCGCGTCAGCCTGCCGACGCCTGAGAACCCTTTGAATTTTGTTTGCAACCAATGGTTGGCTATGCTCCCTGTGAATGCTCTAGTCATATCATGTTTTTGATGTACATGTTTGATAGTAGTACATTATAGAAGAACTCTTCTAATTTAACTCCTTCAATATTTAATTTATTTAATGTGTTTCTCTAATGATACGCTTTTCAGACAAGCAAACTACTGTACAGTCTTTTTCAACCCGGAGCACGCGAAACATTCCGAGCGGAGCAGCGCGTCCGCACCGCCACTGGCCCAGCGAGATAGAATAAAACGAAGAGACGCAGACTGCAAAGCGGAAGCGAATCGTGGCGAAGCAGACTCCCGTCAGTCCAATTTCCGCGCAAACTGAGTTGGAACTTACTATACTCACAAAGGAGTCCGTTTGTTTAAGGTGGCCCTTTATATGATATTGATACCACTATAAGGCGCATCGAACGCTGATTCCAAATCTTTCCCGTTATCTGCCGAACGTGTCTGGACGTCGACTTATGAGCGTTTTTTGAGTTGCAAAATTCGATGCATAATTGGAACAGAATTCGTAAGAACTGTTCAAATTGTCCAATTTGATTAATGGATCACTCCATTTAAAAAACACCTGTGTAAAATATTTATACCTAACATCGCTCTGTTTAAGCGCTGAAAAGACGATGAAATTTGATCTTACCTAAATTATGAGTTCATAAAAGCACCAAGAAACTATTCATAACTCGGCATGCAGGGTCGGCAGTTAATAAAATCAGATTTGGGATCACCATTTGATGCTTTTTAAAGTGGTATAAGACTCATTTGGAAAGGTCACTTCGACTTATCGGACCTCCCATGCCAGACGTTTGCCAATGGCTCCCGCAGAACAAAATGAGGTGAAGCTTAGATTGGCTCACAAAACGAGATATGGAAGGGTTTTGTACAGGAAATACACAATACGGGAGATAATCACGCCTCCTCATTCACAACTCTGTGAAAAAAGTTGTGTGCAGAGAAATCCGTAATGTGTGTGCCTTATTTGAAGCAAGCACCTCATGTTCTTAGCAATGTTTACTTGATATTCGTTATCTTTTTCACCTTCTCTTTCTTGCACTTGTAAGCACATTCTCAAGCTTTGTTTTTTGTTGGAAAACTGCAAACATAATGGTTGACAAACAAGATAGCAAAGCAGAACATAGAAAAGACAATGAAATCGTGACAAGTTTCTTTCATGTTAACAAAACAAGAAAGAAAAAATCTGCACACACTTTTCCGGCAGTCTGAAGCAAACAGATGTTGATTGAGTAATTTATGTGTTCTCTCAAGCCACGGCTTTTAATGGGGTCAATTTCTCATTCGCTTCCATTGCAGTTGTTATGTTCTTACGTCTTTTCCGAATAAGTGCCATGTTCAGGTCATCTTGACATTGAAATCTACCTAAATGTCAGCGAATGTTCGCTGATGTTAGTTCAGGGCATGTCGTATTAACGGTGTATAAAGTTTACGAAAAGTTGTTAGTGTTTTTTTTATTGTCAACTTGGTACACCCTTACATTCTGCGGGACATTACCGAGTTTTGGCAGGAAGCATGTTAGACTGAGCAACCATATTTTATTGAACGTCGGTTGAAATTTGGTAGGCACACTACGGCTACGCTACATGGCTATAAGTGCACTTATAGCCACTTACTACATGTAATTGAAGTTAAATCTGAGCTATACCATATGAACCGCAAAATGACTTATGTGCCTTTGTGCGCGAAAGATTTTGTGTTTAACTGTCGCGAATGGAACTGACGACTTTGAATGAACCTGCACTGAACCTGCACTATAGTTTTTGTTTGTAAAGTTTGCAGTTCTTTTCGTACGAATGGTTTTTTCGCAAAACAATAGCAACAACAACCCAAAAATCAAGTTTCGATGAAAATCTATTGATCCACACACCTCGTCGGTGCCGCTCGAACAACGATGAAAACAAAACGAGCCTGACCAGAAGCAAGCGATCTTACTGCTCAAGATACTTGCTTCTAAAAACTAGTCAAAGATTCTCAAGGCTATATGGTGCAAAATTTATCGAAGTTCACCTCCTAAGGTATGACTATCTCCATTGAACAGAAATCACTGGCTTTGCATGCGACACTTTCTAATGGGTTCGTGTAAGAAATTTCGTGTTAGTTTATTGTCTGAGGAAAATTCTGCATGTATACATAGTTGAATAATTCAAACTTTGAGAACCATATCATCACCATTACCTGAGAGAAAAGATAGTGCGCTAATATGGTACGTCCTATTTGCAAATTTCAGGGTTGCAATAATTATATGCCAGTCAATCACATACTATCTTTATATCTTGTGAAGACAGCTTGAAGCGGGGTCCACTGATGCTAATAGAATTCTGTAATTGGCTCTCACCCAAGCGTCACTGCGCTGCCAAAACAGCATGTTCACAGTATCGTCCCATTCGCTATTAGGCAGTTCAGTCTCAGGAGTTCGGACTGGGCGGGGGGGGGGGGCAAAAATTTTTTCCTGAGTGAAGGTGCGTGGCGTTAGCACGCACTCCAAAAAAAGTTTTGGGATGCTTCTCAAAATTTTCACACGCCCCCGAAAAAATTTTTTTACAAGGCTAATTTGAGTTTTAAAAATTAAAGCATTTCAATCGTTTACAAGTATAATCATGTCACTTGCACATTTTTATAACCCCTATGAGTAATTTTCAAAAATTTGGCGATCCATTTCCGAGGGGAGGGCCCGCCACTGCTATTAGGATATATATTTGACTCTTGATCTGTAATAAAAACACAACCGCCAAGGTGCATTCCATTCATTATTTGGGCACATATAGGATGTCCCAAAAAGATATGGGCACTGTTGGTCTTTATAACTCGCTTGTTTCCATGTGTTTTGCCGAACTTTAGGTACCATTCTGTAAAGGCTGGCTTTAACTTAGATTTATAATTTAAGGCAAGATCTCCCATCTTTATTCGTTACTGTAGATTGCGGAAGGGATTTCGAATAGAGTTTTTTAAGTTTGAGTTGCAGATCGATGTGAAACTTGCACATCAAAATCTTGCAAATTTTTGCGCAATGGAAACAGAGTGCTTGAAAACCTTATACACAAGTTTTAAACTTTTCTGGAATTTTTCCATCGAGCGGCCAAATTATCAGTATACTGAAAACTCTCACCGTAATTCTACAACAACGAAGAATGATTGGAGATTCGCTTTATAAGGTTAATTTAAGCTGAAACCAGCTCTACAGGATGGTACCTAAAGTTTTATTAAAGAGCAAACAATGTGCACATCTTTGCGGGAAACTCTGTAGATCTTTGACATGGCAGATCAAAGATTCAACCTAGATAGCTTGCTTGTGCAGAAACAAGGGCTTCTGGCAGTAAGTTTTTATTACTTCTCCGTTCTCGTCATACAAAAGTCGCTTAACTTTGTCAATACTTTTCGACCATATAGAATAACGTATGCTATATGCCTTCCAGTAGCTAAACTCACTAGAAAACGTATTCAAAAATTTTTACTAAGCTCTGAAAAATGCTAATGTCCCCAGCGTTACAAAAAAAGGTTGAGCAGCAAAGTTGGAAAAGAGAAGAGAAGGTCAGATCTTAAAATAGTGTCATGATATAACAAAGATAAACTAGCATTGCGCTTGTGATAAGTGACAATTGCAGACACTGTGGGCAAATACTTGTTCACAAATTACCTGTTACAAGCGTACGCATTTGGCTTTCAATAACAAGGGTGCTAAATTCTGGAAAAGACAGGAAATCACCACTTTGTTAGCGATACCAAGAGTCAAAGCTAAAAAGTCACGAAAAAAGCTGTAATAGAATAGTTAAAGTTGGTTCGTCCTTCAAGATCTAAGCACCTTGCATTGTTTCTATCGTTATACATTATATTACATTTTCTAAACTGTTTATATTTCGAAAAAAGTATGAACAGGGTTTACGCCATCCTTGTCCATTTAAGAGGAATTTGAACTTTTTTCAAAATACTGATTTCCAAAAAATTTTCTGGATCAATTTTAAACCAGAAAATCTTCCTAGTAAAAGCTACAATTAGAAAATGTATGCGTGGTATAGGCAAAGGTTTTCTCATTGCAATACTCTTTTACTGCGCATGAAAAGATGATTTCGGAAAAGAATTGTTTTGGTGCAAAGATGAAACCTGGAAAACGTGCATTAATCATGACCTAAGAAGCTGCGCTAATGCTAATAGAAATATTTAACAAATATGGTAATTGCTTACTTACTGTTGCTTTCATCAAACAATGTTAAAACTTGTGTAGAACAATTTTATGTTTTCACATTCTACAATTTTGAGCCCTGTTCTGCTCTTTAGTTTCCTAACCCTTGCTGGCTCTGAATCTGCAAGTGATTTGCGTCCGTGACTAAAACTTATGATGCACTGATCTTATTTTGCAGTAACAATCAATAAGTCAACAGGTAGATGTTCCGAAGCAATAATCATGAATATTGCTGTAAGGGCCAGAAAACAAAGTTTATTCTCTAAACTTTGAAGGCGTTAGACAGAGTTTTTGTGAAAGATCCTAGATTGACGCCTTTACTCGAGGGATCGTCCACCCTCTCGACTTCGAAGTTGCTGTCGATCCGAGGTCTTTTCATGTTCCTGATTTCAATTTTACTCCCACTTAAAGGGGAGGAGTCGACGTGGCGAACCCTCGTCCTAAGCGATTTTCGAAGCGATTTTCTCGCTTCGGAAGCAACTTTTGGCAACGCGAGTCAGGCAAGTTTGCGATTACTGCTAAGCATCAAAGTCTCATCGGTTTCATTTTTTGGGAGAATGGTGCCTTCAAAATTCGAGCATTTTGCTCTTGTTGTAGGCTGCGAGCTCTCCAAATCGATATTCAAGTCTTTTGATAACTGCACCTACACAGATAATTGCCGAGGGTAGGCGGACCGCAAACTCGTTCTTTCTCAGCATAATTTTGGGCGTGGCCAAACCCTTCGAGCGTTCGGATTCCTTTTACGCAGTTTCGGGTGTACGCCGAGAAAAGGTAACATTCTATAAAGTAGAAGTGTCATCGATGGTTTAAAACCTAATAACTTTCTCCCAGCGGAAAGGTACCTAAGGTTCCGCCCTCAACAGTTTTGCATATTCTGGCGGAAAGTCCACGAGAATGCAGCCTCTGCGTCACAACTGATTACACGATTGTTCTTCAAGCATTCGTTTGAAAATTGCCATCATTTTTCCAAATATCTGCAAGCGGACCGCAAGAAACTAGCGAACTATTTCACCGGTGCCCGCTTGCCCATAAATCGCATGGCCACCTGCCCTCGGTGATTATCTGAGTAGTTACTCTAGCCGCTTTGAATGTGATGTGCACAAACTAGGGCAGATTGAAGAACCAATTTTGAATCCGCTTTTTCAGCAGTTTGTTTTTTTTTGCAAAAATAGCCTTTGCATGATGACACCTACTGCGCTACTGTGAGCAATTACAAGATCTGTGTAAGGCCCTGGGCATACCTCACGCGACTTCAGTCGCCATGCGATTTGGAGATCTGCCAGATTTCTTCAAATTTGATATTTGCAGACGACAAATTCACATTATTTACAACTTTCGCATATCGGTAAAATGCCTCATCAATAGTTTATTCAGAATGCACGTAGAACGAACGAGCTATAAACAGCTGGACCATTGCCAAATCGCGTCGCGGCTGCGATTGCGTGAGTTATGCTCCAGGCCTAAGACATGCTGTTTGATAGATTCAAAAGCTCTGTCAATAAGACCTCTCTAATTGTGGTACACTTGATGTATAAGCTGTAATCCATAAGCTAAATCACCTCAAAAACGACCTCTTCCACAAGATCCCCACTAGATCGTTTTACAAAAAACACAAGTAATTGGACATGCTTCTGGTGTAATTTCTCAAAATTGAGATAACAAGAATGAGTGGCAAGCTGTGCATCTAGCGATAATAGAATCCTTTCACAAATCCTTTCCTTTCCTTTTATGCGCTTCATTCCCGAAAGATAAACTTCATGAAGGGCCATAGAAGATGGATCTTCTTGTTTGAATCTGTGGTTTATTTTTGTGTCATTATCATTAAAAAATTAGTATAGGCATGCAACATTCATTCAGTGTCCAAGAGACTCGAAACCCCCTGCACGCATACAGGCTTGATCGTGTAGTTGACAGTTTTACACTCATATATCTATTCTAGGATTACTTGCTACCTGAAAACAATAAAGAACAATTTCAACCTTGTTTAGACAATGTGTGCAAAGCGGTTTCGAGTCTTTTAGTCACAAAATGAATATTGCTTATGTGTTTACTGGATGACTAAATGAATCTTGTAAAGTCTTATGGAATAATCGAGTTTATCGAATATCCAAATTAGTGGTTAAATTGATATATATTGGTTCTAAACTTTACGTGGAACGGACTGATGGTAGCTCTGTAAAGCTTGATTTGTTCTATTGGATGGCATGCCTCAAGCAATTGGTACCCCCCCCCCCCCCCGCAATGCGATTGTAACACATAAACTTTGATTGTGTAATTCCGATATGAAAAAAGTTAATGTAAAGGGCAGATTTGAAATTAAAACCCTGACTTGCATTCTTAAATAAAAAAAACTATGAGTGGCTTAATCATTATTTTCCCTTACAAGTAGTATCAACATTTTTTCTTAACGTTGATCTGCATAATTGTAATGGATACATGAGATATAATTTACAATTAAAATTGCTTGAGGTGGGACAGGAACTTATGACCATGCTGATCTTGAAACCCAGATTTGTCAGTATAAGTTGCTTACCTTTGAGAGTGAAAACTCTATGCACAAATAAACCTGTTCTTCAAATAAGTTTTCAAATAATCTCGAATGAAGGGATTGTAATGCTTGGTCATTACTGAAATTGATTTACCTACTACTCCCGCATTCTTGAGAACAATAGTAGGTCAACTATAATAGAGGTGGAAACTTGCTTATGTACGTACTAGCGGCCCTACGGGCCGCTGTAAATGGGTCGGGGCAGATACATTAGTATTTGCTTAGTTGAGACTGCATCTAAGTACAAACGTGTTCACATCTTCTCTCTAAAGAATTTAAAAAAAATGAAAAATCAAAATTCGCAGGTAGACACAAAAATATCTCATCTTTCGTGCCAAATGCCACCACCAGAATTCGGTTATTTAATACAGCTTGCTTCTTTCGCTGCTTAGTTAAAATCAAAATAATCCCTTTCCCAAAAGGCTGACCAATGCAGATGAATGCTGGGTTTTCCGGGAGCAAAGGCATTTCTGTGGCTGAAATTCTGTCGAAATCGAGGTTTTTACCGTTTTTTGTGCAAATTGTGGGGAAAAACAAAAATTTTTGATCCAAAAACTGGTGAGCCACAGAGAGAGCCTGCCGGAGCTCAACCAGCGAGACCACAGCTTCTATGCTGGGTCTTTTTTCCGGGGGCAAAGGCATTTTCTGTGGCTGAAATCCTGTCGAAATCGAGGTTTTTACCTCTTTTTGTGGAAATTGTGGGGAAAAACAAAAATTTTCGATCCAAAAACTGTTGAGCCACAGAGAGAGCCTGGCGGAGCTCAACCAGCGAGACCACAGCTTCTATGCTGGGTCTTTTTTCCGGGGCAAAGGCATTTCTGTGGCTGAAATCCTGTCGAAATCGAGGTTTTTACCTCTTTTTGTGGAAATTGTGGGGAAAAACAAAAATTTTCGATCCAAAAACTGTTGAGCCACAGAGAGAGCCTGGCGGAGCTCAACCAGCGAGACCACAGCTTCTATGCTGGGTCTTTTTTCCGGGGCAAAGGCATTTCTGTGGCTGAAATCCTGTCGAAATCGAGGTTTTTACCTCTTTTTGTGGAAATTGTGAGGAAAAACAAAAATTTTCGATCCAAAAACTGGTGAGCCACAGAGAGAGCCTGCCGGAGCTCAACCAGCGAGACCACAGCTTCTATGCTGGGTCTTTTTTCCGGGGGTAAGGGCATTTCTGTGGCTGAAATTCTGTCGAAATCGAGGTTTTTGCCGTTTTTTATGGAATTTGTGGGGGAAAACAATATTTTTCACTTCAAAGACTGCCCAGCCACAAAAGAGCCTGCGAAGAATGCAGTTTTTTGCTGTTGACTTGCTTTGGGTTGGGACTTTCGTCAACATTTCATCAAATGTTGAGTTCTGACGACTATTTAAGGAGAGTTGGAGTGCTCAGATTTCATATCAAACTTACGCCAAATGGCCAGGGGGAAGGTAAGAGAATCTTTAGAATGAAGGTGGAACGTAGCTGAGGACATGAAAAGAAGGGGAAACGTGTATGTAAACAGTAATTGCTCCAGCTGTGAAAGCTGTGATCAAACCGAGCATACGGTATTTCATCACAATTCGTCATCGCAGGCAGTCAAAACACGTGCCGTCATCGCATGCGGTGTAGGGTGCGATCAATAGTCACATGTCGAGACAACCCTCTTCTCTCTAGCTTGTCTGCGGTTCGGAGTACACCGCGCCTCTAAAATTCTCATTGTCTGTAACCTCTGCGAGAGGGTGTGATGTCTCGCGCGCTCATACTGTCAACAACTCGCCCTCCGCAACACTGAAAGGGTGCGTCAGGGCAGGAAACAATGTGCAGTTTTCGTCGTCGCTCCGGATGTTTCCAGTTTATATTATACAAGGATTTATCGTTGCGCAAGTACAGAACAATATTCTTGTGAGGGAATATAGTTCGCTGATAAAAGCGTTCACGGATCTTAAATATGGCAGACGTGAAATGAAAGCAGCAAGCATTGCTTTTAGACACGCAACGAATGTATACGTCTTTCACGCAGCTGACGTTCCTAACGTTTGAACTTGCAATTGTTGCTTATTTAAGGGAATTAGAAGTTTCCATTCTCTTATTACAGACTTAATAAACAATCTGTAGGGTGATGTATAGTACATAGTGATAATCGGATCAAGCACGGGACCTGAACAGCGTACATATAGATCACTAATGTGAACTAACTATAAGCCATGCTTACCCAAACACAAACCAGGTGCGATAAAAAAGCCAAGCACTTGAGGTTGTAGAATTCCGAATTGTATCAATAGGTAACCACTAATGGGCGGAAAAATTGCAAAAGTGAGTACCAAAGACTGCCGCGTGAGAGCCTAGAGTGACTCTCTCCATCTTCGCCGTTTTCCATCTTTCAAGCAAAGAGTTCGGTGGCCAAGAACTCACTTTGACGAATTGTTCAACATTGTAAGAATTTTGTGTTGAAGAAAACGCTTGGCCACTTCTTAGTAGGACAAGGACCTTTTTGCGAAAATAATATATGATGGTGTAGATGACACAGTTGAGAACAGAGCTACAGAAGAGTAGCCACAAGACGCATGGCTGTAAGAAGTGGATTATTTACGGTTGCCTGGAATTCTTACTGATTGGAAGCTTAATACTTTTGTACTTTGTGTAAGCAATGTCTTACAATTCACAAGTCGCATTGCATGTAACCTTGCTAATTTTCCAATAAAACTGCACTAGTGCAAACTGTTTCTATAGCACATTAACAAACGACTATACAAATTATAATAACAAGAATTTCTATTCAAAAACACACACACACACTACAAACAGACACACACACACTACAAACAGACACACACACACACACACACACACACACACACACACACACACACACACACACACACACACACACACACACACACACACACGCACGCACGCACGCACGCACACACACACACACACACACACACACACACACGCACGCACGCACACACACACACACACACACATCCAGCTCCAAGATTTAGATACATTGCTGAAAATTTAATTTTCTACACATTTTTACACACAATTTTTTTCCTCTTTAACTACTCTTAGAATGCTTTGACTTTCTCACGACTGCTGCCTTTCAGCACAGAAAAGGTGGTGCTTACAAACTTAGTGTTGCTTACAAGTTTCATAGGTCGGTAGTAAACCTGTCGAAACTTACAATTATAACTCTGAGTTATCACCAAGCTAACGCACACTTCTTTGACCCGTCAAAAGGGCTCCAACTGACCGAACCTAGGAAACGATAACTTGACAGGTACTCCGTAACAGGTAGTTTACCCCTAGTAGAGGGACTTCGCTCTGTCATTCACGCAGGAAACCAAACGCGCAGCTGAGCTCCACTGAGTCTGGTCACAAAAAAGAAATAGTGCACAAAAAAAAGAGCTATTAATAAGCCTTTGGGGTATATTTTAGTATCAGCAAGCATGTCGGAATATCGTGGGCTGTGGGTGTCGGCTAGGCAATGGTGCGTGCAGAGCAATTGGTGAGTATACGGCAAGAGGGGTGGATTTACAATATCCGAAAATTGACCTAGTAGGATTTTTAGTGTGCTGGCCACAACTTTGCAAAATCTTTTATGCAGTGGTATCATCCAGCAGGGTCACGGTGGGCATACGATAAGTGGGTCAAAATTATAGAATAAGGACAAGATTTGCTCAGGGAATTTATCTGTGCGTAGAGAAGTCCATTCTTTTCATTGCCTAAGCTATGCGCTTTACCCATCCGTTTGAAGCTTTCGGCTGCGCAAGTGACCGATTTATGCGAATAAACCATCATAGAAATAGAAATCAATGAGGCTTTGATATTTATAACACGACATAATTGTGTTGGTGCAATGACTATATCAAGGCAAAGCTCCAAATTTGAAGTGTGTCGTGGCCTAACGCTTTGGTGATAGGACCCCATTGCGTTAAGCCAAACAGATTTAAATCCACTTTGAACGTTGCTTTTGCAGTGACGGGCATAAATCTGATCAAGCAGCTCGAAATTCCGAGCTTGGGAGTTGAAATTGGAAAAACAAAACAAAACTCAGAAATGCAATATACAAACTCTGACAAGGAGAGGATACTTAATCGAAAGCACCAATCCAGGTGAGACACATATCATCTTGAAGCGCTTGAAATGCTGTTTTCAAATCTGTAGTTTTTAGCAGCGGAGCGGTTTTGTAGAAGATGTTATGAGGGATGTTTCCTTTTGGGGTTGAGGCGCCCTTCAGCAGGTCTCCCCTTATCTATGAGCACTGTAGAGGGGTACCAACTGGATGCGGTGCAGGAGGAACCAAAGGCCTGTAGCCGTAGGAGACAATTAGGAGCGCAAGCATTAAGGAGAAGATTTTGGCGAGGATTCAGGAAAACTTGGCGAGGACATCTATGGATACAAACCCATATAACTCTTCTTGGAATTAACTTTCAGAAATACGAAGAACAGATTTGGAATCAGTATTGAAATGCGCATTTTTACCTAATACCGTAATACCCTGCCGGATTGATAAACAACTCTGTCTCGCTACTCGAGTTTTATTTTTACCATTAAAACACTTCCATTTTTTTCAAAACTGAGTCTTCAGAATGCACCATTAAAAACCGAGAAATTTCAAGTCCAATGTTATGTGAAAGATTTGAGTGACTTTTCAAATGCAATTTCTGGATTTGAAGTTGAAAGTAGGGAGCGGTAATCACGAAATAAGGTTATCTAAGTTGCATGTGATGAAATTTGCTATTGTGTTCGACCTCGAAAGATTACTAACCTAGTTTCAATGGCAAATCCTATGAAAATCTCTACTAAAATTTAGAATCAAAATACCCTAATTTCCGGGGTATAAGGCGCACCTTGTATAAGGCGCACCCACCGCAGCGAACAATGGCGCGAAAATGCTTTTTGAATGATTGCTCTCTGAATCTAGAAAGCTAAAGACTCAGAGTGCTGTAATTATTCTTCACTTCTTATAAATCATGCCTTCAGGTAGGTGATTCTTTCTTTTGTTTCCAGTGATGTTGCCTGTGCTGCATTTTGTGCTTTTCTTCGTTTCCAATAACACTACTGGTACTGAAACGGTCCTCTCTTTAAAGTGATACTACTGATACTTTGAAGGCGCTGTTTTTGTTTTATTCTTGTCATTCTTGATAAAAGAAAAGGTAGAGATTTGCTGTTGGCAGCTTGTGCGGTGCCGCGCATCGCGAACGTCATCGCACATCAGTCCGCGCGCGGTGAAAGCTACTGCGCCTTATACCCCGGAAATTAGGGTAGTTTTGAAGTAATGAGACAAACTGCATAGTGCATCTTAACACAAACCTCCAGATGTTTTATATGACATTTTGATTGCTTTGGTTCATTGACTTAATAAGCAAACTATTTCCTTATCTCCAAGAAAAAAAGAATGAATCTTGGATGAAAACACCGGACTTCAAGAATTTGAGACTTCAAAAAATTCATAAAACAAAAAGTTTCTACAAGGAAGTTGACTTTTGTTAGCACTAGAGTTCCGAATTTTCCCTTACTTTTAGGCCCACTAAATGCGCCTTCCAATTTGCATTAAAAATCTGTTTTTCAAAATTTTCAAACTCATCTCCAGACAAAATTATGAAGATTCATTCCTAAGAATTGTAATTGCCAAAACTTTTTTGGACCTTTGCCAAAATATTCTCTGTAGCGCTCGCGCTTTCGATTATCTCCTGCGGATACAGGCGGCAGCCCTTTGGTTCCTCCTGCACCACCCCCGTACCAACTGGTGGCAAGTGGCCTAGTGGTAAGTGCCTTGCTTGATAAAGAAAGTGTCAAGGTTTTAATCCCCTTCGCATGCAACTTTATCGCAATTCTTGAGCTTTTAAATGGCTCTAGTGCCCTAAAGCCTGAAATTTCGGATGATATTGATGCTAATTGAAATTGAAAGTGCTAAAAAATCAAAGTAGAGTATTATAATCCTTGATGCGATCTTCATTCAAAATACTTACCAAAAGCTAGTTGCTACCAGTTGGTACCAGTAGGGTAAGGGGAGACCTGCTGGAGGGCACCTCAACCCCAAAGGGAAACACCCCTCATAACTCCTTCTCCAAAACAGCTCCGCTGCTATATACTACACATTTGGAATCAGCGTTTTAAGCGCTTTAAGATGATATGTGGCTCATCTGGATTGGTGCTTTCGACTAAGTATCCTCTCCTTGTGAGTTTCAAAATCGCCTTTGGGTAGCAGTGAGACAGCAGTGTTAAAATATGACTAGTAATGTATCGTCTCACACGTATAAAACGGTGCACAGTTTGTCAAATAGTAAAGACTGTATAATATGTGCAAAAAAGTAGTCTCTGAAAGTTCCAAGCACTTATGCTTTGCCTAAACAAAAGCTGCTATTTATAAGCTTGGCTAAAGCAGTGGTGTTCAGACACCTATCCCAGTCGATTACTACCTAGAGCGATCGTGATTACCACTTAAATTAGATCGCTGCTTACATTGGCAGGATTTTGCGTGCAGCTCCATAATCAAAGAGGAAGGCCCTCAGTTAGCACTCATGTCGATGTAAGTGGTCCTCCAAGTACGGTAGCGGGGCTCTGAATTCAGTTTCGGATGCACTATTCGCGCTGCATCTTGGCAAAGTCTTAGTTAGCATCCATGAACAGTCTCCACGTGCGATCTCCTGTGTCCAGATATGCCTGAACACTGCCCGTGAGTCTTGGTCGAGCCACATCATTGCAGCCGTCAAGCGAGTTGTTGGTTTTACTTTCCATTTCCAATGTTCACCAACTGAGCCCTATCACTTTCCATTTGTCAGATATTTGTATCTTCATGAGTTATATGTTATACGTTCAAAGTAATGTGCACGAGAATAAGTAATATTGCACAGCTTACCTGTACGATGCTCCCAGAGAGCACGACTGCATATTTCTCAATATTTGGCACCACATAATGCGTGATAGCAGCTGCTCTGACAGCATCTGTTGAATAATCCAAAGTCAGATAAGGCAACTGAAATTCCATGAGTCATAACAACTTTGATGATTATTGAACTGATACTCCATTGCATGTTCTGTCGTAGGGCAAAACTAGCATGGTGCTAGATGTTGCTAACTCCAGCATATACTAGGTTGACAAAAAAAGGATGCGCTTCTAGTTTACTTTTAGAGCAATCGTTACTGTGGATGTTCCTTTCTACTACAGTGCTGGACATAATTATAGGGACACTCTAGAAATCGTCGTAATTTTCGTTCTTGTCAGTGAATCTGTCTAAAACTTTGCTGTATGGTGCGCATGTAAGCCTACCATAACTCCTCAGAACGGCTTCCAATCCCGTTGATTCCGAACGGAGAAAAATGGAAAAATTCGAAAAAGCCTGTTTTGCAAGCTGGACATAATTATAAGGACACCTGGCCTTTTTAAGCATTATCGCATTCCTTGACTCCCAATTTTTTTTGTAGAGTTACATCCCAGAATATGAAACTTTTGCAGCACCTAAGACTTGTCACGCTACTCAAGGAAAGATGATCCTTGCATTTTTCGTTTCCAAAGGCATCAGAAGTCAAACTGCGTCAACAAACAGCTGGTTTGAGGAGTTTTCAAGCCCGCGTTCATTTCAAATGACAGTCCTGGAATACACTTAGCCTTTTTGATAGATAAGGTGAAGAGCGCTTTCGTAAACTCCGCGTAATCGCTGATTTTGACGGACAGACTCCAACCTCAACATAGGATTGTCGCGCTTTTAAACCACAAAACTCGATTTTCAAGTTACAGAAAACGCTGCAATGTAGCCGCAACAATGCACGTACAACAATAAACTTGTGTGCCTAGTCAGGAAAAAATTTCGGGGTTGCACATTCTGGTTCAGCCGCAGTTGTCATCCGTTGAGAGTTGAGTGGAGCACCCTGCACAATCACATCCAACTCAAATCAAGAAATCGAACAGGAGAGCGCTTGAAACTTCAAAATCTTAACTATTCTCACCTACCGCGTAAAATGCGACATGAAATAGAGAAGGATATAGTGAGATTTGTGATTGTGTTAAATCTACTGCTCGCAGAGGAATTTCGTGGAAAGTATTTCAAATCTAAATGCCAACTGCAGCACTAGAAAAAATCTGAAAGTTGTTGCAAAAGCTGCGTCTCCATGTAGACAATATAATAAATCGAGTCCATCATTTCACGAACATTGGAAAGTGAGTTTTGTGGTTTAAAAGCGCGACAATCCTATGTTGAGGTTGGAGTCTGTCCGTCAAAATCAGCGATTACGCGGAGTTTACGAAAGCGCTCTTCACCTTATCTATCAAAAAGGCTAAGTGTATTCCAGGATTGTCATTTGAAATGAACGCGGGCTTGAAAACTCCTCAAACCAGCTGTTTGTTGACGCAGTTTGACTTCTGATGCCTTTGGAAACGAAAAATGCAAGGATCATCTTTCCTTGAGTAGCATGACAGGTCTTAGGTGCTGCAAAAGTTTCATATTCTGGGATGTAACTCTACAAAAAAATTTGGGAGTCAAGGAATGCGATAATGTTTAAAAAGGCCAGGTGTCCTTATAATTATGTCCAGCTTGCAAAACAGGCTCTTTCGAATTTTTCCATTTTTCTCCGTTCGGAATCAACGGGATTGGAAGCCGTTCTGAGGAGTTATGGTAGGCTTGCATGCGCACCATACAGCAAAGTTTCAGACAGATTCACTGACAAGAACGAAAATTACGACGATTTCTAGAGTATCCCTATAATTATGTCCAGCACTGTATTGCGGTTGAGAACTCTGCCAGCCGCTTGCTTATTGAAATTGTTTTCAAAGAATGTGTGTCCTAAGAAAACCAGTGGGGTGCTAACTTAAGACATTCTTCATAGTCTTGGCTTCATAAGAAGGTATATCCGACATTTCACACATCTGAGTGTAAGAAAGTCACAGAAGGTTTGCTTGCTGCTATATTTAGAAATTTTAGAGAAATTTGTTTGAATTCTCCGCAATGACAGTAGAACTGAAGTGCAGTGACTTGCTCAAGCATATAGTTTGCAGTTTTCAAAAGGTTGAATTGAAAAGAGTACTCAGCAAGTTTGAAATTTTTGAATCATATCCGTAAAAACAACGTCATTAATTTGAAAAAGAAAAAAGGTAAAGCCTTACCACCATAGAGAAAGGCATGATATACCCAGCAAAACACATCATTATTGCCATGCGTGAATTGATGTTTGAGTGGCGAAATACAATAAAACGATAAATCATTGAGATCATCAGAGATACAAAGGAGTTTGCAGCGAAATGTACTGTAATCAAGAGTGAGGAAGAAAAAAGGGGCTCTGACAGTTTACTTACTCATTGTAGTGAACAGCATGCAGCTCCAGAACGCACCTAGCATTTGTGCTGGTCCAAGAGTTATACTCACAAGATTTAGGCCTTCAGTAAGTAGCCTGAAGAGCGTGCGAGTTTTTCGATTGACTTTTTTGATTCATGCTGGGCCTTCCAGCCGCCACTCAAATGCGTCAGCGTTCATCGCCTCTTAGGGATGAATGTCAATAAACACAAGTACACCTAACTTTTAGAATATAAAAATGACCAATTTTTTGATTGATGCTGTCGCTGAACTACGCGCTGTTAATCGGGTCAAATTCGTATACAAAAGTCTATAAATGGTATGAGGATTGCAAAATTAATTAATAGCAATAAAAATGCCCGATTTGTTGCCTTTTGGTTTTGTTTGTCTCTCAAAGAATTTAAGTATGTGAAAACAATCAGGATACAAAAGGCAAGCACGATTCGAATACTGAAAATCACTACCGACTGTATTTATTGAGTTCAAGCACCTGCAAATTACTCTCATGCAGGTCTGGTTCGAAATGGCATATTCAAGTTCCAACGAAGGCAAACAACTCGAAACGTCACTTAATTTACCAGATTGATGAAGAATATCGCGAAGTAAAGGGACTCAGCGATTACAGGTGGGTTATTCAAACTATGTTGTACACATGTAAACAGTAAAAACACTATGAGACAGTGAGAAAAGCGCGTATAAAAGACTTATTTTTCAGTGTAGACTGGGAATCAAAAATCCACTCTGCTGCACAGCGGTTTTCTATCTGAATTTAGCTTTATAACAGTGTATAAAGGTAACAGTTCCTTGCCTTGGCGCAGTGACAATGACGTTGATCGCCAAGAAAAGTTGTGAGAGTGCTGTGTTGCCAAGAAATATCCGGTACGGCGAAAGATACTTAGGACTTCTATAGATTATGATGTAAAGCAAAACAGCATTAGCGGTAATTCCCCAAGTTGATAAGATAAAAAGCACAATAATGCACACGATGTCATCTCGAGAGTAGTACATTCTGTAATCATATTATGCAAAATAACATAAAAACGAAATTTGCAAACATGATATTTTTCGAAAATTTTGATTGACTTTGGAGTTGAACTGTAGATGAAACACATGCTAGCATTAGCTGTTTTTAATTGGGCACTCAGTTTTTGAGATTGAATATGTTATGGTGAGCTACCCTGGACGTTTTGTTTGATTTTTAAAGGAAGATAAGAGAAACCTAATTTTTTCGTGCACTTGACTCAGCACAGCCATCCAAAATTTCTCTAATATATCGTAGAATTCACAAAGCTAAATAAAACATGGAAAAGGCAATTTTTCCTGGCGACCTATGAAGTCGAATGAATCGCTGTAGCCCGGACCTGCGGACATCTGTCAAATTAGCTGAGCAGAACCTCAGAGTCTATTTTCATGCATAGGGGGACGATGTTGTGCGCTGAAACGAATACTGTATTCATTTCTCGTTGAGGTAGATCAAACGTAGCATTACAGGGAACTTCCATGTAGGTTGAGTATATTTTTTGTGATCATATCGAATATCGCTAATTACAACTAACTAGTACGTTGTAATTTTTCCTCCTATACCGTATACTTACCGTAAACGTCACTGGACATTTGGCGGAACAATGGCTGCATTTGTAGCTCGCACTATAAATATGCCAACTTTGAGTGCGTCATCTTTTAAAGCTTTAATAGCGGAACTTATTGCCAACCAAGCTCACCTTACTATAGCATACACCTTTACATCGGTAATCTGGTTCAGAGCACGTGTAAGAAATTGAGTGTTCTGTTTTGAGAATTTAACATATTATACAGATTTTGTCAAAATTTTTATGCCGTAACGGGTTCACAGTAAAACGCTTCATCGTTGCCCTCGTTTCCTGCGTAATATAGCAACATTTTCGGAAAACTTCGCAAAAAGTCTAGCACAACATTTTATTTGATCATAAGAGTAGGTCATGAGTCATGTTACTGACAATAGGACTGATCGCAACGTTTTAGGTTTCGCCTTAGAAAACAAAGATTCAAGTAGTATTCAAAGTTCATTGGTCATCTTCCTTTTATTTTTGTCCACTATATTGTGAAGTTAGCAGAGTGTTATTACAAAAAGCGTTATTCTTTCGAATAAATTATCAAGGTGTTCTGAGCATTTAGAAAACAGCTAACTACCAAAACTTTATTGTATAAGCCTCAAAGCATAGCCATAGAAGATTGGAAGTAGAAGCATGAAAATCAACGGTAGTACGTTCTTTAGGTAGTAGAAAATCAGTAACATTGAGAATTCACTACAGCAAGATTTAAATTTCTTTGCTATAATCTACAAATTTACTCGAGAACTGTGCAATCAATGTTGGCGACTTCGTTTTATGTAACTTTCCTCTAATGATACATGTCTAAGGCTCTGTTTTGAAGCACACTGTTTGCTCCCTTGAGATGGGCTTCATCATGTTATGTTGTCTTAGAAAGTCTTGGAGTCCAATAAGTATAGAAAAAATAGACAAATGTAGTTTCTCAAGATGTGTTGTCAAGCATCTCGAGAATCTAATCAGTTTCCTTGAAGTGATAATGATCGGTAATTGAGAAGCTGGGGCGAAACTAATTCGCTGTACTCAAACAGATAGAAACTAAACGGGTTGACAAATGTTGGATTCTTCCGCCTTCATTTCTTCTGCCAAAAGAATAGGAAGTACAGAAAAAACCT